TTTTTTGGCTTTTAAAAGAGATCTCAGAATAGTCAAATCATCTTAAAATGCCTTAAACTTGCAACGTCTTAGGTTAGCTTGCGATCGCTTTGGGAGAACAGCCGAGACAGGGGGTTTCTTAGTGACTTCAGGGCGTTGCAGCATCTCGAGGACTCGTGGGCCTCCCGGGAGATGGAGTTGGGTGTGCGTCCCACGGCTGGACTGAGTACGTTAAAGTGGCTGCAGGATTTGGCCTCCTCAGCCTAGGTTCAGCTGTGAGTTCTCCCAAGCCTCCGGCGTCGTCCCCTGCCTCCACTTCCCCCGGCAGCCACCACTGCTTTGCTCACGTGTGCGCATCTCTCCCTTTTCTGCCCCCCAGTGCTTCATGAACGCCGTGCTCCAGTGCCTGAGCAGCACCAAACCTCTGCGGGATTATTGCCTCCACCGCGAATTCCGGCAGGAGCAACCGGGCGCTCTGCGGACCCAGCAGGAGCTGACCGAAGGTGAGAGGGGGAAGGTTCGCCACCACCGGCCCGCCGGAAAGAAGGATCCTTTCTCGGCCGGCCGCACCCCCCAGCGCTCCGTGGGTGGGGGGGGGGGTTATGTAATCAGATCCCTGTCTGAGCTGGCTTCCGCTCGCAGATCCTCGCTGCCAACCCAGGATCCAAATCGGTCTCCGGAGGGTTTTAATCCACACCTGGTTAACCCATTATATAAGTCCCTCGGCCTTGAACGAAACTTTATATAATTAGAGTCCTTCGTTCCTGGTTTGTTCTCGATCTCTTGTGCCCCAAGAGTGTTTGCTGTCTGCACTTCACATTATTATTATTGCTGCTTAGAAAGCACTTCCCCCTCCAGCAAAGCCTGTAGCTTTGGTACAGAAGAGAACTTCTGAATATCATGTTTTCAGGGTGGGGTGAGGGTATGACAATGTGTTCTTTATTTCTAACATATATACACCACCCCATTTAGTGAGGATTACTGCTGGAGGGGCAGTTTTCTGACAACGTAACATAGACACCCGCCCGCCTGCCCGAAAAACAGAAATAATAAAGTAAAACCAACCAGCAAACTCCTAAAACACAGACAAATAATAAAAAAAAACAAGCAGAAACTAAACTAAGTAATGGGGACAAACCTCGAACCTCAAAGTGGACACGAGGTCACTGACCGAGTGAGCGGAGGGGAAGAATGTCCTTTAAGGGCTTTCTAGAAATGTTCGGTTTTGAGCAGTTTTTTTTAAAACTCCGGAGGCCCGTCAGATCTCCAAAGGGAGGCCGTTCTGGAGCCTCGGGGGCCACCCCCGAGAGGGCCCGACCCTTAGCAAAGAGGTAAGCTAGCATAAAAGAACAGCCGTAATACCGGCAGAACAAATTGAAGTAATTTCATAGTGAGACAAGGTGTCGGAGTTAAGACAGGTATCCTGGGGTTTTTTGTGATCCCCGGTCTGGACACGGGGGAGGCACAGCCAGGAGTCCTTGGAAACCTGGGTGGGCCGAGGGATTCCTGTTGGTGTAATCCTGTATAATGTAGTACCTGTAAAATCTCTCCTACCCACCCCCTTAAAAAAAATCACAGGATGATGGTTTTGGATCAGGATAGGAAAGCCATTCTTCCACATGGCTTACTGTCCCTGTGGGTGTGTCTTCTCTTGCCCCCTCTTCTGCATTGCTGAACTGTTTTCTGAAACCGGGCTTTCTTTCGGAACGCTAGGTGGACCCCACCTGGGTCCTTCTGTCTCCCTGTCCCACGTAGGCTTCATCTTTGTGGCGGCGGCGAGAGAGGCGGGTCCGCCCGTGGGCTTGCCTGCTGGGTTTTCGTGGCACCAGCGATTTTTTTAAAAAACATCAAATTGATTTAAATCACAATTTAATTTTTTTAAAAAATGAAATCGTCAAAAATATCCCGAGTTTTAAAATTTAAATCATCGTTTAAATCCGTTCAATTTAAGTTGTGATTTCAATCGATTGGGTTGAAATGAAAGCCGCCGTGGAGATTTTGAACCTGGGTCTTGCTAGTTTTAAGCCCAGGGCTGTACTCACTAGGCTGTCCCTGCTCCCAGTCTTCCTCTTCTTTTTCATTTCCTTCGTCGTCGTCCTCCTCCTCCCTGTAGCGCCTCCTCTTTTATTATCTCTTTGCTGCTTCCATCCATCCACTCTTTCTTCCCTGGGCCATGCCTTGCCTTCTTCTACAATCCGAGCACTGCCAGAGATCCGCTTGGCCAGTCGCTCCTCGAGGCTGTCACAAAATCCCTTCGAGCGGAAGACCCACGGTCTAGTGGTGTTTCTCCCATGGGCTCTTGGTCCTGTTAAAGGGGGGAGAGGCAGGGCAAGGGGGGTACCAGGTTCTGTGTCACTTTCTGCCACTGGTGCCCCTTTCCACGGGACCATCCTCGCCTTCCTCCGTCTGCTGCTGGTCATGGACAAACCCGGCTGCAGAGAGAGGTAGATTTGAGAATTCTTCCTGCCACTGTCCTTCTCGTGTCACCTTGGGCCCCTCCCTGTTGCATGATAAAAGCAGGCGGTCCTAAGAGAGTGTCTACCTCGCTACTAAGAGGTTACGTCAGCATGAAAGATGGCAAGGTGTTTTTAGGGAATCAGCGGTGGTTGGAACCAAAAGGGGAAAGACTGACCTCTCGCTCTTTCCTCCCCAATACTCCGTCTTCCTTCCGTAGCCTTCGCAGACGTCATCGCCACGCTGTGGCACCCCGATTCCACAGAGGCCGCCAACCCCAGCCGCTTCAAAGCCGTTTTTCAGAAATATGTGCCGTCCTTTACAGGATACAGGTGAGACCAACTCCCAAGACCTGTCTCCCCAGCTGCCTTCCTCATCCACACTCCTCGTCAGGCTCCCCAACTCTCCATCCAGCCTCAGCATATCAAAGCCAAATTTAAAACAGGGCACTAAACGCTCACAAAAACCAGAAGCTCAGCAGGGAAGCAGCCGTGTTCACACAGAGTGCAAACATCTCTATTCCACTCCTCAGATACCAATTAAAAGCTTTGCTTGCTCTGTTTTGAACCAGTTGTCCTTTCTGAACAGTCTCCAAGGGTAGTCCCGCATTGAGCGCATTGTAGTAGTCTAAGATGGATGATAGCAAAGCATGAGAGACTGTGGGTGTACAGAAAATCCTGTTTTGCCTTTGGGCCTCAAATAATCTTCTAGAAGTCTGAGGCTTTTATTGTTGATTTGCAGCTTGATCTAATTTTTAGCCAAGTGTGCACAAAGCGTGCGATTCATGAGGTTATTTTGTCTTGCCATCAAGGGGACATGCTTCTGAACTGAATACTTGAAATTATATGGTGCTATCGCTTCTATAAGCGCCAACCCAGTCAGCTAGAAATTTCTTTTAAAAATACAGTGCCTCAGAAATCACATTTAGTCTTCTGCAGCGACAGACATTTCTGGAACCCTCTGAATAAGGAATCAAATCTGGCTCGGTCTGTTTCATCCAACATTGTGTGGAAAAAAAGCAGTTCTCACGCTCGTCTCCTCTTCCGTTCTAGTCAGCAAGATGCTCAGGAGTTTTTAAAGTTTCTCATGGACCGGTTACACGTGGAGATTAACAGGAAAGGGCGCAAAACACCCAGCATCCTCTCTGACACCAAACGGCCGTCGGTCCTGGAGGACTCGGATTCTCTGAGGTGAGCAGGAATGTGGTTTTCTTAGGATGGACAGAACAGAAGCTGCTTTAGATGAAACGGGGGCGTGCTTTTTTTCCTCTTTTCTAGTCTGCCCATGAGCTTTATATCCTGGATCGTGTCTGATCCGTGAGGGAGCAAGACAGAACATACTTTTTGCAGTATGAGGAAGCAACCCACACACACACACGGGCTGTACATTCTCCCAGCCATTTAGAAGCTGGTATCTACGAAGGAGTGCCCCCCCCCCAGGCTAGCTAGTCTAATAGGTCCCACTCTGATCCGCAGCAACTCTTCAGGATCTCTGATCTTTCCCAACCCTGTTACCTAAAACGCTTTCCAACTCATTGCATGGCATTTTTGCAATGGTTTTGCTCTCATCCTTTTTTTAAAAAAAAATCAACCTCGCTCGCTGCCTGTTGACTGATTTCTGGGCACAATTCCATAGAGCCTGCGTTGACCTTCAATTGACGGGCCCAACTCATTTGTTCCTAAAAGGAGTAGGAACTCCTTGAGGGGCCGGTGAACACACAGGGCTGGGGGGGGAGCATGAGATGGTAAGGTTCCCCCCCCCCAGATTTGCAGGGGGGGAATGGGGAGGGGGGGGGGGGCCTCGGCTGTGTGTCCCTGTTTTCACGAGAGGTGCCGGGAATTTGATGTGAAACAGCTGCGTGCACATGCGGGCCCTTCCATGAAATTTTGTCTCTGAGTTGGGCTTATCTTGCCAAGACATTTGTGCATCCCTGATGTAGGGGATTCTTTCGTACCTGAGCCAACAATATAGTATATGATTGGGGCTCAAGAATCTCGTACGAGCCCCGCTGTAGCTGGCTTGATCCAGTCTTCCAAGCATGCCTGAGCCGCGACATGCTATTAATCAGTTTTCTCATCTTCACGTTGGCCTTTGTGATCCATTCTTATCTCGTGGGCCAGTTCACCTGAACATATCTGTGGCTCACTTCCAAGCTTGGACACATGGATGGCTTGCCTTGAAAAGCCCGTACAGTGGTGCCCCGCATAACGAGCAATTCGTTTAACGACGAATCCGCATAGTGATGTGTTTTTTGCGATTGCAAAAGCGATCACATAACAATGTTTTTAATGGCCAAACATCGCATTGCGATGTTTTTTTAAACAGCTGATCGGCAGTTCCAAAATGATCGCTGGGTCAAAAAAATGGCCGCCCCTGTGTTTTCGCGCCCTTTCCTCGTTTACCGCGCAGCGAAAATGGCGGCCGCATGGATGATCTTCGCATAATGGTGAGTTTTTTGCCCATAGGAACGCATTAAACATATTTTAATGCGTTCCTATGGGCTTTTCTGCCCCGCATAGCGACAAATCTGTATAGTGACGGTTTTTTTGGAACGGATTATCGTCGCTATGCGGGGCACCACTGTATTGTGTTCCAAGGAGCTGGTAGAAGATGACGACTTATTTTTAGTTGAAGACTGTTGCATCCAATAAAATCATGATAGGAACGATGACTGTTTTATAGTCCTCAAAGTGTTGCATAGACATCCTGGAGCAAATTGCTACGCCAGACCTGTAGGCGAGGATGGTGTGATTCCCCCTTGAATTACCAATTGGGGAGCTGAGGTGGAGGAAGCTTTGTCTAATGAGGTCATTAGGATCGTAGAATAATCAAGTTGGAAGGGGCCGGTAAGGCCATCAAGTCCGGCCCACCTGTGATATCCGAACCAGGAAATCCGCTTGGCAGAATTGGGGAGCTGGAGGAAGCTTTGTCTAATGAGGTCATTAGGATCGTAGAATAATCAAGTTGGAAGGGGCCGGTAAGGCCATCAAGTCCGGCCCACCTGTGATATCCGAACCAGGAAATCCGATCCGCTGACGCAATATCCACCTTTCCTCTCCTCTGTCTTAATGGCCACCCCTCGCCATGATGATGTTCTTATTCTTCTCTAGCCTGATGTCTCTAAATTTCTTTTCTTCCCCCCCACCCCAGCGATGATGAACAAGCCAACCTGATGTGGAAGCGCTACCTGGAACGAGAAGACAGCAAAATAGTAGGTGAGTAGACATCGTGGCCTGGCAAATGTATGAGTCTGCACTGTGGATCGTGTTGGCTGGAGCTGACGGACGTTTTTACTGAAACAGCAAAGGTAGGACCCCACCCAGGAAGACAGTGGCGGAGATTCCCAAATATCTCCGTGTCTTTTAAGAAGGTGGGGTCTGGCGGAATACTTGATCTCAGCTCAGCACACAGAGAAGACGAGTGGTAAACCTTTCAATAAAGAGTTGACCGTGGGCTTATGGGAGTTATAATCTCGCTCTAGCGCCTCTGGAGGGCGCTAGATTTGGGAAGAGCTGCCCTTAAATTATGGTTTACGGTAGGGGTTCCCAACCTTGGGCCCCCAGATGTTCTTGGACTATGACTCCCAGAAATCCTGGCCAGCACAGCTCGTGGTGAAAAGGCTCCTGGGATTTGTAGTCCAAGGTTGGGAACCTTTGGCTTAGGGCGTTTTTTCTTTGAATGGGACCCCCTGGGCCAGAGTCATACAAAACCCTTTTCCCCTCAATTTCACTTCACAAGTGTCTGCGATCGTGATACTTCAATCCTGACGCAAGTATGTAACAGAGTTAAATTGGGGGAAGATTATTATTTCATCCGCATTGACTGTAAAGGTTTCTTTGAACTACCGAGCATGTTGGGTTACAGCTTTGGGTTTGAGTTTAGGGAGAAAGGGCCAGCTGAGCTCCCAGCCAGCAAAAGGGCTGTCCCTCACCCCTTTCGCCTTTCTCCCGGTTAGACCTCTTCGTTGGCCAGCTGAAGAGCTGCCTCAAGTGCCAGGCGTGTGGCTATCGGTCGACCACCTTCGAAGTATTTTGCGATCTCTCCCTGCCCATCCCAAAGGTAACCTTTCGGCACGATTGTGGTGGGTGGGCTCTGTGGGGGATGATGTGTCACTGTTTCCTAACAATCAGTAAGATCACAAGTCTTTCTCACCCCCCAGCACTGAAATCTCTGATGGGCAGTGGCTCTAAACAGATTTGTAGTTTCAGTGTTAGCCTTATTGTTAGGTTATAAGCGGTTCCATTTTTACAGTATATTTGGAACAGTCTCTTTTTTTACTCTTAAAAAAGGTTTATTCTTGAAAGGTATTATGCTCCTGCATTTTATCCTTAAGTACTTGCCTACAGCTTCAGTTTTGTTTCCATACGTGCAAAAGTTACGTGCGTACAGTTTCTTATTCTACAGATGAATTTTGCCAGATGAAGTGGTGTGTCTGTAACGTCTCAAACGTTACATGTTTTTAATACTTTTGGAAATCGTTGTATGCTTATAAAACCTAGAAGCCATACCGGCAAATAAAGCTTAGAGAATGAAGAAGGTGGCATTTCCTGGAATTATTGCAACAAGTACAATACTGATATCGTAGGACCACCCCATCTGCAGGGTCAGCTTTCGGATTAACCCTTCACTGGAATAGTACCGGCTGTGATGAACCTAGAAAACTTTAGTCAGCTATAAGTGTGTGTGGGCTTCGGTGATTTTCCTGTCGGTCTGCCCTCAGGTTGGCCTGGAAGGGAAACATCTGGAGTGCCTCCAGACAAAGTCTGACAGATGTCTGCTACCGGGGATCCTTTTTAACCTGAGGCTAAATTCAGGGCTTCTACATGGGTAGACAGTACAGTGGCATCCCATAATAAACTCGATTGTGGCAGCCACCATCTCGAACACTCTCCTTGTGTGGTTTGAGAGCTGAAGGTTTTGTTCTTTAATGCCTACTAGAAACACGGATGTACAGTCGGACCCTCATATCTGGGGGATTGGTTCCAAGCCTTCCCTGTGGATTATAGTGAACACTATACATATATTGGTCTCTGGTTCCTTTTTGTGGCCAGTTCTGTGAACTTCATCTTTAGAAATGCATATTTGGGGTGGTTTTTTCCCCCCTTTTAATATTGTATTTTTAATATTTTCAGACTGTGGATAAGTGTATCCGTGGATACTGATCCCGCAGATAAAGGGGTCCTACTGTATATCCAGGTTTTCCCCAGCTAATGATAGCTGCTCTGTTGCAGGATTTTTAAAATATAAATATTACCTTTTAAAAAGTGGCTTTTGAACGGGTTTGCATGGCAGAATTTGGAAATGCAGAGCATCGCCTTCTGAGTAAAATCCTGCCCTCTTCTTTCACAGAAAGGCTTCACGGGTGGGAAGGTCTCTCTGCTGGACTGCTTCAGCCTCTTCACCAAGGAGGAGGAGCTGGACTCGGAGAACGCACCGGTGAGTCAATGTCGGGAGGCGACCAGGAGCAGTAAAGGCTCCTCCATGTAGCTGCCCCTCGGTTACCCTTTATGTGTCATCCAGGGTTTCCCAAGCTAATGATAACTGCTCTGTTGCAGGAATCTTTTTTTTAATATTACCTTTTAAAAAGTGGCTTTTGAACGGGTTTGCATGGCAGAATTTGGAAATGCAGAGCATCGCCTTCTGAGTAAAATCCTGCCCTCTTCTTTCACAGAAAGGCTTCACGGGTGGGAAGGTCTCTCTGCTGGACTGCTTCAGCCTCTTCACCAAGGAGGAGGAGCTGGACTCGGAGAACGCACCGGTGAGTCAATGTCGGGAGGCGACCAGGAGCAGTAAAGGCTCCTCCATGTAGCTGCCCCTCGGTTACCCTTTATGTGTCCCAAATGAACCACAGATCAAAATCTGGAATGGATCATAAAAGGCAAAACTTTTCATCCTCGGGTCTTTCTGATGATGGGGTTCCAGCTCTAATCCTGCGGAGATCTGTAAAAAAAGAGAGGGAGGGTTGCAAAGACATGACCCAGAAGTAATTAATGAAGTGAAATGAATAAGCCAATTTTTTCTGCCATTTTTTTCTATGGGGATGATCCTCGGCCAACTTTATAGATTAGTTCTCTCTCTTTCGGAGCAGGTGTGTGACAAATGCCGGCAGAGGACTCGAAGCACCAAGAAGCTGACCATCCAGCGGTTTCCCCGCATCCTCGTCTTACGTATCCTTTCCGCATTTCTGCTGGGAGCAACGTGGGAGGGTGGGCGCTGCTGATAAGAGACCCACGCAGTCAAGCTGAAAGGGGTCGCAAGTCTGTCTAGGGGAGCGGACAGGTGCCTTCCGAATGCGAGCCAGCTTTGCGGGGGTGTCCAGAAAAGCTATCCCAAGCGAAATCCGTCATCGATTAATATTACAAATGTTGTAACATTAATTTATTACAAATTCCTCATGGCGCCTTAAAGGCAACCGGGTTTGCTTGGACATCGTGAGCTGCTTTAAATGAAGTAGGCTACGCTCTTCAAAAGCTCGTACCAAATAAAACTCATTCACCTTCCAGGTGCCTAGAGACTCTGTTAGTTTTGCTGCAAGAGATTAGCATGTCTACCTCATGAGTATATGATTCTTATTTTAATATCCTCCTTTTCCTCTCGTGAGGCTCAAGGTGGTGAACACAATTCCCCGTTCCTCAGCCTCCTTGTCACAACGACTCCGCAGTAGCGTAGTGTCCTTCGGTGGCTGTCAACAAGCATAGATAACGTATAATTTAGAATAATTTAGTTTACCACCATCAGGACATTCCAGACATACACTGATTTCTTTTTTTTTTCAGATGGAATTTGGGTGGGGCCCATTCTTTCGTTTTCCGTATTTGTTGGCATATTCTTGTTAGGATTTCGATTCCTTCTTTCCGTTGCTTGAAACAGTTCTGTTAATATTCCGTCTACCCCTGGTGATTGATTTATTCCTAGTGCTTTCGGAACTCGCCAAGAATTTCTGAAGCCCAGCCTCTGCTTGATAGCAGAGCCTTTGACGGTGTGGTAGATCATGAGAAGCGATGGGTTGTTCTGAAAAATAAATTGGGTACGCTTCAGCACTTGATTCTCCTGATGCGTTATCTCTCTTGGGGACAAGAAGCGATTATTAGAATATAGAGAAACAGAATGGTTTCCTATAGGCAACGGTGTCAAACAAGGGTGCATTTTAACCCCTTATTGCCCCCTAGAAGCCTTCACTGCTTAGCTGCACTGGGCAGGATTTATAGGAGTTGTAGTCCAAGAACATTTGGGGACCCAACATTGGAAACCACCGGTCTAAGCTTTTCCATGCAACCATCCTTGTAACCAGGTTCGTTGCCACCTTGAATTAGCTTTCCTTTAACTCCGTCTACCTCAGACCTGAATCGGTTCTCCACCACCCGTTACTCCATCAAGAAATGCTCCGTGTTTGTGGATTTCCCCCTCCAGCAGCTCAACTTGAAGGAGTTTGCCAGTGAAAAGGCCGGTGAGTAGCACACTGCGTTGGGACCAGTCCCTGCTGTACCAGAGCGCTCTGAGCTTGGTCTTTAATTCCCCCCCAAAAAAATTTAAAAACTGGTATCTCGTCTTGTTTTTCCAAAAGAGGACCTCAAGGTGGGTGGACACCCCATAATATGAAAAAATAACATTTCACCCTAATTTGTAAACCAAAAACAGTTTTTAGAACCCTATACAGTACAGCTGCTGTATCCACAAAATCAGTTCCAGTGGTTTCACTTCTCTGCTGCCTGAAAAATATTAAATTAAGAAACCCAGAAATACAATATTCCTAGATGTGTTACCAGAACTTGCCACTAGAGGGAACCAGAGACCTATCCATCCATCCATCCATCCATCCATCCATCCATCCATCCATCCATCCATCCATCAGGTTTTCTTATTCACAATTTCCAGCGTCTACTGGGTGGGGTTGTAATTGATGGATACCACAGTTCTACTGTATTTTAAAACATACCAAGGAACAATTAAGTTTCAATGCAGCAATTTAAGATTGTTCAATGTTGTATCCTTTTTCTTGTTCTTCTCCTGCTTTGCGGTTACATCTACTTTGGATATAGCAGTGCTAAGTTGTGATGTTTTGTTGCATCCAAACTGGTGTCTCGGGTTGTTTCGCCAACAGGTCTATTTCGCTCCGGCACGCCTTTTTCCCTTGTATTTCCGCCTTGCACGGCCAGCTGTTAACAGCTGGTCCTTTCCATTTCTCATGAAGTGACTCGCTGTTAGTTGCATTTCCATCTCACCTTTCCTCAACCAAGTTTAAAGAGAAGTCTGTGGTTCTCTTCTTCCCCACACTGTCCTCCCCGTGCAGGAGGTCAGGCTGAGAGGGAGCGGCTGGCCGGGAACACTCGGGGAGGCTGAGAACCCGGATGTTAGCGTCCAGTGTTGTAACCACTGCCCTACTCCCATCATCTCTTACAGGCAGTCCTGTGTACAACCTTTACGCCCTCTGCAATCACTCTGGCAGCGTCCATTATGGCCATTACACAGCCTTCTGCAAGGACCAGTCTGGCTGGCGGGTTTACAATGATTCTCGGTAAGCAAAGCTGGATATGATTTTCCATCTTTCCTTCCTTGTAGCCATCATTAGCTCCTTCTTTCCTCCCTCCCTCCCTCCCTCCCATCATCAGCTCCTTCCTCCCTCCCATCTTTCCTTCCTTTCCTTTCCTCCCTCTCCCACCGACACACCATCCCTTCCTTCCTTCCTTCCTTCCTTCCTTCCTTCCTTCCTTCCTTCCTTCCTTCCTTTCCATCTGTTCCTTCTTTCTGTCCATCATCAGCTCCTTCCTTCCTCCCTTCTTTCCTTCCTTTCCTCCCTCTCTCCCATCCACACATCATCAGTTCCTTCCATCCATCCATCCTCAACTCCTTCCATCAATCTGTTCCTTCCTTCTTTCAATCCATCATCAGCTCCTTACTTCCTTCTTTAAGTGACACCCGTATTGCTTTCCAGGAAAGCTGAGACACCTTTCTTGTTGTTAGGTGCCTTCACCTGCTCCTGACGTAGGATGACCCTATGAATCCAGGACCTTAAAAAGTTTGTGTCATTCGCTGCCCTGCTCTCAGCCACTCAACACAGGGCTGTGGCTTCCTTAATGGAGTCAGTCTGTCTCCTGTTCAGTATTTCTCTTTCCCACCTTCTGTTCTGTTTCCCTCCTTTAATTAGGCTGCCCCCCACAAGCACCACTACATCACCACCCAAGCATGTTCACTGTAACAAATCAGGGTTTTATTTATACACACACACACACACACACACACACACACACAGAGAGGGAGAGAGAGAGAGTGGTGCCTCGCATAGCGACGTTAATCCGTGCAGCAAAAATCGCTGCTAACCGATTTCGTTGCTATGCTATTTAAAAAAGCCCATAGAAACGCATTAAAACCTGTTTAATGCGTTCCTATGGGCAAAAAACTGACCTTAAAGCGAAGATCCTCCATACGGTGGCCATTTTCGCTGCCTCTTAAGCAAGGAATCTGTCCCTAAACACAGCGGGCGGCCATTTTTTTTTACCCGGCGGGCATTTTGGACCCCCCGATCAGCTGTTTTAAAACCGTCGCTTTGTGATGATTGGTAAGCAAAACAGGGACCCGATCATCGCAAAGCGAAAAAACCCATTTAAAACATCACAATGCGATCACTTTTTCGTTGCTATGCGGTTTCGTCGCTAAAGTGAGTGCCTGTTAAGCGAGGCACCGCTGTATGTATGTGTATGTATGTATATATATTAATTAATGTTTTATATATATAGGGATATAATTAATTAATTAGGGATAGTCTTTTTGTTTGTAGTGAAAGTGTAAATGTGCTTTTTAAAAAGTTGCTTTTATAGTGATGAGAGTCAGTAAGCCTCCTCCGTAGGCATGTTTTCTACGGGAGGGCGGCCAGCTCCTCGCCGCCTTCTTGTGGGTTTTCCTGCAAAGGGAACTACAGCACTGGTTCCAATCCCTATGCTACACATGCCAGCCCAGCTTCCGTAAGGAACAAAAGTGACACCCAGACTGGAATGTGGACATTTTTCCAAACCGGAGCCTGCTTTGCTATGCTCCGTTTTTCTCCTCCACGTAAGGATATTATTTGCCCAGAACCTGCCAGGTCGGTGTCCTGGTTAAGGAGCTTAAAGGGCCCGTTCCAAGAACTTGCCCTCCTCGGCCCCCCAAGGAATGTGTCGAAAGCAGGTCAGTCTGCTAACCCGACCTGGTTTAATCTGCTGTCCCCCAGCGAACGGCAGACCTCGTGGCCTGCCGGCGTTTGGCTCTTTTAAGCACCCCAAATGGCATCTTTATTTTCCTCGTTGCATTCTCCAGACTGAACCAAAAAATCCTTGCGTTTCTCTTGAGCAGGGTCCAATTTCTACTGCCGCTGCTGTTCTGCGTTACGTTTTCTGACTGTGTCGGGCCCCCGGCCGCCACCGCCTCGAAATCCTCCTTGCCCAAACCTTAGTCCTGTACTGCTTTCAGGCGGGGACTTTAAATGCCACGTGTTTCAGGCTTCTGTGTTTGCATGATTCACGTCGGGTCTGACCCCTGATCCCTTGAAGCTTCTTTCGCATCCGTGGTTGTTTTAGGGTTGGCCGTGTCTTGATTTTCATTGATAGACGGGTCTGCCTTGAGTGGCTTTGTGACAATCAGACCACAGTGTCAGTGGGCGAGCCATTCCAAGTCACCCCACTGATGCCAAAAACTGTGGATAATAAGAAACCCTATATAGAACACTGTTTCTGGTTGCCTCTAATAGCTGGTTCTGGTGATTACATAGTGAAAAAAAAAACATATAAACATTTATATGGTTTTTTTAATTTAATATTTTTAATATTTTCAGACCGGATAAGTGAATCAGTGGATACTGATCCCGTGAATAAGGGGATCCTACTGTACAGTGGTGCCTCACTTTACGATTGCTCCGCATTACGATGAATCTGCTTTACGACGATCTTGTTGCGATCGCAATTGCAATTGCAAAACAATGGTCTAAATGGGGGAATTTCGCTTTGTGATGATCGGTTCCCTGCTTCGGGAACCGATTCTTCGCAAAACGAAGTTTTCCTAACAGCTGATTGGTGGTTTCAAAATGGCCGCCGGGTAAATAAAATGGCTCCCCGCTGTGTTTAGGGACAGATTCCTTGCTATACAGGCAACGAAAATGGCCGCCGTATGGAGGATCTTTGCTGGGCCGTGAGTTTTAAGCCCATTGGAACGCATTGAAAGGTTTTCAGTGCGTTTCAATGGGCTTTTTATTTTCGCTTTACGATGTTTTCGCTTAACGACGATTTTCCTGGAACGGGTTATCGCCGTTAAGTGAGGCACCACTGTAGTCTTGTATTCAGAGTTGCTGTTCGGCATGTATTTTTATTTATTTTGATGCACGCAGTGAAATGCAGGGCAGCTGAAATGCAGAAGCCCTCTGCTTAGTTCCTGTAAATTTATTATCCATGTGCTAGTGAAGGACGGACCAAGAAAGGGACTCATCGCTGGAAGCAGTTATTTTGCCCGACAGACGAGTGCAAAACCCAGCATCTTCTTGTTCTTCTCCATCTTCACCTCCACCTTTTTTTTCCTTCATCTCTCCAACAGAGTCTCCCCCATCAGCGAGAACCAGGTCCCGTCGAGCGAGGGATACGTCCTTTTTTACGAGCTGGACGACACGCACTGGAAGAAGCAGTAAAAAAGTATTGAACCCAGCACTTTTTTGCCCTGCCGCCCTCTTACCTCAGAGACTGGTGCTCGGGTTTTTTAAAATAAAAACAAACAACAACGACAGCAACAAAAATAATAAAACAAACAAACGACACTGTGTGGGGTTTGTTTCTATGAGCGACCCGGGTCATCGAGATTTCTTTTATTTTTTCCCTTGTTGGTTTTAAGGGTTTGTTTAAAATTCACCAGGTCTTAAGGCAAGACTGGGGAGAAACGGTTGCCCCATAGAAAGATCGGGGTTGTGGGGCAAAGCCTGAGAAGAAGAGAGGGTGTGTGAGAGGGGCCTCCCTGTGTCCGTCCATCCTTCCGTCCAGCCGTCCGTCCTCTCCCGACCCCTCAGGTGACCCTAACGTGTGTTTGCTCACTACTGATTTTAACGACTCTGTGACTTTGTACATAATGATGGCTTTGTACATAGATGACAGGAAAAAAAATGAAGAGGTTGAAACTTTTTTTGTGAATAAATTTACTTTAAAAAAAATGTTTCTTTGCTTGCTTTTCTTCGGGAGAAGGTCTCATGGGTGGCTGGCTAGGGCTCAGAAAAAGATATTTTGGCCTTTTCCCTTAAGAAACCGCCTCTCGCCCTACATTCATTTCCTTTTACAAGCCCCCCAGGGCTGTAAAAAGTGGAGTAGGTTGGGGATTTCCCCCCCTCCTACCCCATGCGTTGTAATACTCAGCAGGATGGGGAGTCCCCAGAGATGGAAATGCCTCTTTTTTTTGGCCTTTTAGTGGGCTAACGAAGCCGGTATCCTTTAGAACAATCTATGCATCCACCTTCTTTTTTTTCCTGGGGGGAAAAGCTTGTTTTTAATAGGGACTTGGAACCAAGGACTCGAACTCGGGACTCGGCACCAAAACATTCGAACTCGGACCCAAAGACTTGACAACGTCCCTGTTAATTGGAGAACTGAACGTGGCAGGTGTCTGAACTGCACACCTTAGCATGCAATGGACTGCTTCCAAAACAATTCACCCCCCTGTTAATTGGATTGGAGAACTGAATGTGGTAGGTCTCTGAACTGCACACCTTAGCGTGCAATGGACTGCTTCCAAAACAATTCACCGCTCTCTTTAATCCAGCACCTACTAGGGCCAAAAGCTCGTTACCTTCTGATGGCGTTATCGAGTTCCAGATAGCCTAGAAATTGTCATAATTCTTGTTTGGAAGCCAAAAACGTCGGGGCTTGTTCAGGAGCAGAAAGCAGGGTAACTCTTTCTGATGATGGTTAGCTGCTGTGGTTGGTTGCTGAAACCATCCCACCAGGGCCCAATTAATTCCTTCGCTCATTAGTGATGAAACGGCGCCACTTAATAGGGTGCATTTTTCTCCCCTGTGGGTTCCTCCTCCAATTTTGGAACGCTTGGGAGCTAAAATAGCGCTCGCTTGTTATTCGAAAAAGACAAGAGGCTCCCTGTTTGTGCGTGGGGGCGTTTTAATACTTGTTAATGATCTGGCATATTCCCAGTGTGGCAATATCAGATATAGGGCGAGGGATTACTAGGACTGGGGGGGCACAGAGTTCGAATCCCTGTGCAGCCATGGGAACTGTCAGAGGGAGCGGCGCTGGTAAAACCACTCCTTAAATATATGACTTATCTTGAAAGCTTGATCAGGGTCAGTATAAATTGGTTCCAACTTGATGGCATAGAACACACACACAAGAGCGGCTCACGACCTGGTGAATTCCTGCCTGAGTCAGCATAGAGCGGCTCACTACCTGGTGAATTCCTGCCTGAGTCAGCATTTGAGCTCGCAGCTGCCAGGTCATGAGCACCGTCTCGAGATCCCCTCACTACAGAAGCGCCGGCTCCTTTTTGAAAGGCCACCAAAGCGCAACTTTTATTGAGGATCCCTACGAAGAAACGCCATGGGCAGGCAGAAATCCCACCGGTGCCGTTCTCTACACCGCGAAGGCGAGGCAGGCAGAAGACGCGAACCTGTTGAATTTCTGCCTGACAGGAAGAAACGGCTTCCAAAGGCCCAAGAGCTTCGCCCGCAGGGGCGATCCTTTAAAGCCCGCCTTTGATTTCGTCCATCCGGAACGAAACTACAAACCTTCGTGAATGAAATTGAAATACTTCGATTATAGAACGTTGAGAACAACCCAACGTTCCATTCGCCCCGCCTTCCCTGTCCTTCGAGCCACGCCCCCTCGAGATTTCATAGGGCGCCGCTGGGTCAGCCCCCCGAGCCCTACGTCATCTCCCCCAGTAGCCAATCGCGGGAGGGAGGGGCGGGGCGTCCGGGTTAACTGACGGGAAGGGAGGCGGGGAAGGGAGACCGGATGCTGCGTGCAGGGAGCAAAGGAGGCGAGCAGGAGGTGAGCCTTGCACGGGAGGGTGCTCGTGGGAATGCAGGCAGAAGGCGCGGGCGGGAAGACACGCGTGTTAGAAAAGGGAGCCTTTGCTAAATAAGGGCCCTGAATCTTATTGGGAGTCACTGCAGGCTGTAAGGGTGTGTTTGTATTTAAGGGTGTTATTATTATTTAATTATTATTATTGTTGTTGTTGTTGTTGTTGTTCGACTTTAGCAAGCCTGGGTTCTGCCATCCGGACAAGCTGGCTTTCGACCGTTGTCTGACGGGGCATGTATTATTGCTATTATTGTTATTCCACCAAAAGTTGGTGGCATTCAAGGCCCTCGGATGTGTCGTGATCTCATTGATGCCTAGAGTTCAGAAATGGTTTGGGAGTCCATCTACTGTGCAGTGGCAACCATTTAATTTTCTTTCCTCCAAATCGTTTGATCTTAGTTAATAAGTTTTGGGTAACTACCAACCTTTTCAAATGCCTTCTCTTCGACTTTACCAAGCCCGGGTTCTGCCATCCGGACAAACTGGCTTTCGACTGTTGTCCGATGGGGCATGTTTATTTATATTTATTTATCTATTTCAGTGTTTTATAACGCTGCCCCATTATATATATTGCACCATTCTGGGCATTTTACAACAGTAGAGGAAAACATAAACTAAGGAATCTTATGAGCTAGGTGTGTCTCAGTCTGAATCCAAAATTCTCTTTTAATTTTTGACATCGCTATTTTCAACCACTTTTTCAAATGTATGGTACCACATTCATTTATTTATTTTTTAGTCACTGGCTCAGCCCCCCCCCCCCCCACTTACTCGGTCATGAGGTTGCAATTACAAATGATCGGGTGTACGCCGTTGTAGGTGGCTTTAGTACGTGGTCAAATCAAGTGGTTTAACCTTTCCTGGCCCTCCTCAGGGTTCCCGATGCAGCGGACAGTAGCCGTCCTCGGTGGTGGGGTGAGCGGCCTGGCGGCGGCCTTTTACCTCACCCGAAGCCCGCAAGCGCCCAAGGTAAGAGATGTATCTCGTGTGACGGGCTGTGGTGTGTAGCCAAAACTGTCCTGAGGTTAGAAACGTGCGCAGCCAAAAGTACAGTGGTTCCTGTTCCAGGAAAATCGCTGTTAAGCTAAAACATCGTAAAGCAAAAAAAGAAAAAAAAAGAAACGCATTGAAACCCCTTCAATGCATTCCAATGGGGTCAAAACTCACCGTCCAGTGAAGATCCTCCATAGGGCAGCTGGTTTCCCTGCCTGTCTTGCGAAGAATCTGTCCCAAAAAAACAGCGGGGAGCCATTTTGTTTACCCGGTGGCCATTTTCAAACTGCCAATCAACTGTTTTAAAATAATCATTTTGCAAAGAATCAATTCCCGAAGCAGGGAACCGATCATCACAAAGCGAAAAAACCCCATTTAGACCATCGTTTTGCGATTGCAATTGCTATTGCGAAAAGATCGTCGTAATGCGGTTTTGTTGTAATGTGGGGCAATCGTAAAGCGAGGCACTACTGCATAATGGATCCCACCAGAATGGAACAGGGGGCGGCCGGGTAGCCTGTCTTAAGAGGGTCCCAGACAAAATCTTGAAAGGTTGTGTTTTTCCCCCCCTCAACTTTAGCCGTTCAACCGCCAGATGATCCATCTTTTAAAGTAAAGTGTGTTTAAAAAGTCATGTTTTTCCCCAAAAAAGGAAACAAGGTTTTGATTTCAAAAAGAGGTGCTGTTTTGCTCTTTGAGCATCGTCCCTCCCCGATTATCATCCTCCTAGCATGGCAGAGCTGGAAGAGACCCTCTGGATCATCCAGTCCAGCTCCTGTTAAGTGCGGGGGATTCGAGCTCCCCATCTCCGGCTCCTCAACCAGAGGCCTCCACCACTGAGCGATTCAGCAGTTCCCAGTTCCACTGGGTCACCTTTTCTCGCCTTTTCTCCCGCCAGGTCATCCTTGTGGAAAGCAGCAGCCGGTTGGGAGGCTGGATCAATTCCACCCGGAAAGAGGACGGGGCCGTGTTCGAACATGGACCCAGAGGGATCCGTCCTGCCGGGGCCGTGGGGAAAAATACTCTTCTTCTGGTAGGCTGAGAAGCTGGGAGAGGAATCGAGATATCGTAGGACCTCCGTATCTGAAGAATCAGTGTTCACTGATCTGCGGTCTGAAAATATTAAAATGTTTTTTTTAAATCCTATATATATATTTCTAAAGAGGAAGTTACCCAAATTATGTGTAGCATTCGCTATTAAACCCGAGTTTGGTCTAATCCACATTTTTCAGCATCTGCGGGGGGTGCTGTTAAACCCGAGTTTGGTCTAATCCACGTTTTTCAGCATCCGCGAGGGGCTTGGGACCCATCTCGCGCAGTAGTGAATTCTCATTTACGGTGCCCTAAATGACTGAGGGTGGAGGAGAAGGGAGAATCTGAACTGGGCACCAGCTTCTTTGTTTGATGGTTTTCTTAGCTGCTTTTTCTGGCTGTGGTCTTCCTCGGGTAAGCCTGTGATCTTACGTTGCCACACGTATAACAAGTCTATGAAACGACTAATTTTTTTTTTTAAAAAAAACAGTTTTTACAATGGGACTGTTTAAAAAGAACCGATCTGAGCTGAGATAAGAAGACATGTAATAAAGATCACGACTCAAAAGATCCTGCCTCTGGTACCCCTCTGGTGTTTGGCCCTCTTGAACCATGGTGTCCAACCTTTGGGAAAACCCGGATGTTTTTAGACTGCGACTCCCAGAAGCCTTTGCACCACCAGATGTGCCGACTGGGGTTTTGGGGCATTGTAGCCCCAAAACATCTGGGCTACCCAAAGTTGAGAGCCACCAGTCTAGAGGATGGGCTGCAATTTCCATTAAACCGGCAGAGTGATAGGAGTTGTAGTCATAAAATATCCAGTTTTTGTGGAAGGAATCGTTTTAAAAAGCAGGGGGGAAAACCCAGCAACCCACTTCACCTGTCTTACTTCCAGAGAACGACCCGTTAAACCAGACACAGTTTACTCCACAAACGGGTAAGCGGTGTGGTTTGCATTGTGGGAATCATCCTCTTAGAACTGCAGAGTTGGAAGGGACCCTCTGGATCATCTAGTCCTGCCCCTGTCAAGGAGTCCCCGAGGGGGGAATTCGAACTCCCAACCTCTGGCTTTCCCATCTTTGTGTCCTGTCCTTTGACAGAAAAGAAAACATCACTGTCTCCAGCTGCTTAGCAAATTGCAGCACCCTTAAATACTGTTTCTTTTAACCTGGCGTCCTCCTTTCCGTGATGGTATGTTCAATTGTCTAATCATGCTGGGGAAAGGTTGGAGGCAGCAGGAAGAGAGGAAGACGACCATGTGCGAGATGGACCGACTCTCTAAAGGAAGCCACAGGCTTGAGTTTGCAAGACCTGAGCCGGTCTGTGGAGGGCGGGACATTTTGGAGATTGCCGGCGATTCCCCGTTCAGCTTCCTGGACGCGATGGTCCATAGGGTCCCTTCTAGCTCTGCAATTCAGTTATGATGATGATGATGATTCATGGGGTCGGAGGTAAATCGACGGCCCATTGCGACAACAAATACAACCCGCTGTCTTGTTTTGAATCTGTTGCTTGGAAAACACACACACGCACACACACACACTCCGAGATTTTCTTGCTATGGTTAATACATGATGGAGCTAAAATGTAGACAGCATGGTCTGCCACATGGTTAAACATAGCAGGATTATGATTGTTTTCAAGGTTTCAGATCTTGGACTTGAACGAGATATTCTTCCCATCCCCGGTGATCACCCAGCTTCCAAGAATCGCTACCTCTATCTTCACGGAGCCCTACATAAGCTGCCTTCAAGCATCGGGTACGTCCGTTTTCCAGAAACCTGGAAGATGATTTTGGGATATCCGCCTGTCCTTCTCTTAAGCGCCGCCGGCAATATATTGTGTGTTTTCTCCGGGATGTGCGAGATGATTTTTGATTGAAGGAGATCGTGCTGTGGTGTTGTGGCACCTGTAGGACATGCTATGAAGGGGGACTTGTGGAATTCCGGCAGGGAGAATAAAAATGAACCTTTTTCTAACATAAGAAAAAAATCCAGCAAGTACAAAATGATGGAAACCCCGGAGAGGTTACAAAATTACCAAATTGTGTCAAATGATACAATGTTTTTAAAGAATCACAACTAAATTTGCAACTTGTTTCAAAACGGAATGTAACTAAATATGACAAATTATATCTATAGTTTATCATCTATTTACTCCCTTGACCTTTTAGCGCTCATATTAACCCTCTGCTTTTTCGGGGCGGGTTTCCAGCGGCCTCGTTCGGACTGTGCCGCCCTTCTCCCGCCCTCTGATCTGGTGCGGCCTGAAAGAGCTAATAACTTCTCGTGGCTCCGAAGAGGACGAGAACATCCATGCGTTCGTGCAGCGCCGTTTTGGACAGGAGGTATGAATCTTGTAGATCTTTCAACTGAACTATTTCCAAGGGCCATTAATTAAATTTTTTCCCTCTTATCTTAAGGGAAAGGTTGCCACATTTTCTCCCTGATTGTGCTCCTCTGCCTTTTACTGTTTGAACGGCTTGCAGACATTTAAAAGCCTGAAAGTTTAGGGTCCCTTTGCCAGTAAATACGTCCCCCTGCTCTGTTTCTTCGTGCCAAGCTCGAGAGAGAGAGGGCGGGGGTAAATATCCAGTGGTGTCCCCTCAGGAGAAGGCCATAAGGAGAAAAGAGAATTCTGCAAACGCCGAAGTTGCCAACTTTTCCCCCTATCCTTGCTCTTCTGCTTCTATGAACAAGAAAATTCCTAAGAACTAAGGAACATGTAAAGAGGAGACCACGTTCTTGCTAGCAAGAGCAGAAGTATTCGAACAGCTTGGTTTGCCCACATTGGGGGGCAGAACCGACAAAGGGAGACTAAGAAACAGCTTGGTTTGCCCACATTTTGGGGGGGCAGAACCGACAAAGGGAGACTAAGATGGCAGGCGGGAACCTAGTATTCCTAAATTGAAGAGTGTGGCAGGAAGGAGTAACCTCGAATGTGCATGAAGAGGTTGAGGAGTGATGTTTTGCTGAACTTCGTTCTGATGGACGCTGGACGACGAGAGAAGCGAGCCAAGGCTGGGACGTGGTTTTAAGGCTTTATCAGCAGCGCGCAGTGCTGCGGAGAAACGACGGCACCCTTCCTACCCTTCTGCAGTTTGTTATCACACTTCTTCCCCCCTGCCCCTCCCTGTATGGTCAGGATGAGGCCCTTGGGGGTGGACATTGTTAAAATGTTGATTAAAATGCATCGGCAGTTTTGGCTGACCGCCAGCCTGCCCTGTGGCCCTTGAAAGCTAAACTTTGAGAAAGATGTTTTTTAATTGCCTGGCCCAGAATCCCCCAGCGCTGAGGTGGGGATGCTGGGATTTGTAGTAGGTGTTGTTGTTGAAGTCAAGTTCTGCCCGGCGTCCCGCGTTTTCATCTCTGCAGTTGGCCGACATTGTGATCGACAGCCTGTGCCGAGGGGTGTTTGCAGGAGACTGCCGGGCGCTGAGCGTGCGGTCCTGCTTTCCGGCGCTGTTCCAGGCCGAGCAGAAGCATCGCTCGGTCCTCGTGGGCATGGCGTTCGGCGGAGGTGAGGCTCGGAAGGCAAGCGTAATGCCGTGTTGTTTTTTTTTTTTTTTTTTTTTGAGTCTGTGTAGAGCAGAGGGGTGAAATTTCTGGAATGTTCCAATTTTTCCCGGGGGAAAAAAACAACGGATTTTTTTTAGAAAAAATAGAATTTTTTGGAAGTTTTACATCTCAAGCGTTGAGGCTAATTCCCTGTTGAGGGAGTCCAGCTTGGGTTTTTTATATATATATATATATCATAAAGGTGGGGTAAAATGGAATTTAATTTAATTTAAAAGACCACTTCAGAGAAAAGTTGGATGCTCACCAATTTTTGTAACGCCACCCGACCATCCTGAACGCACGTGATGCCATCTGGCTTGGGAAGCTAAGCAGGATCCGGCTTGGTTATTACCTGGATGGGAGACCTCCAGAGAGAACCACCTCGGCAGGTTGGGCTAGCCTAGAATCCCGCCTGGAAATTGAGACCCCTTTTGACCCTGGGTTCAAATAAAGCAAAGGACTAATTCAGGATAATCTGTTAAGGCTGTACCTATTGTTGTTGTTGTTGTTGTTGTTATTTAAACTAGAGAAAACCGCGCCGGTGGATTCGCCGCTCATCCGTCGGGCCCAGGCGGAGCGCTGGAGCCAGTGGTCTCTGCGGGAGGGCATGGAGTCGCTTCCCGAAGCTTTGGCGGACGTCTTGAAGCGGCGGGGGGTGGAGATCCATTGCGGAGCCCCCGTACGGCGACTGGAGAGGACGGCGTCCGGTTCCTGGCGGGTGAGGAAGGCGGAGCGAGGATCAAAGCTTTCTCCCTCTTAATTTGAATTTTATCCTTTCCGTTTTATCCCTGGATCTTCGCCGAGAAGGCAAGGAATTCTGGCGTTTTTCTTCCGAGCCACGTGCGGTGGTTCTCCTTCCCTTATCTGGTGGTTCTTCGGGTAGGTGGAAGTACAAGTCCCAGCGTCCCCATCCGGTCACCATGCTGGCGAAGAATGATGGGGGTTGTAGTCCCAACTCCTTTTTTGGAGACCCTAAACTCTCTCTTTCGGGAGGCCAAAAGGTTGATGTTGAAAGCTATCTTACTCTCTGGAAAAGACAAATCAGGCTGGAAAAAAGGTGGGAGACTCCTCTACCTCACAGGATTCCAGTGAGGGTACAGGAGAGGAAGGGAGAATCACCTTATACCATTCATTCATTCATTCATTCATTCATTCATTCATTCATTCATTCATTCATTCATACCCCACCTATCTGGTCAAACGACCACTCTTATTAATAGGAATAATAAAATTCTGTATTAAAGAAATGAGTGTGGGATGAATTCTCTGGGTGGTGTTTGGTTATTTTAAAATACAGTGGTGCTCCGCTTGACGATGATAATCAGGAAAATCGCTGTTAAGCGAAATCGTCATCAAGCAAAAAAACCCCCATTGGAATGCATTGAAAATCGGTTAATGCGTTCCAATGGGGAAATACCTCATTGTCCAGCGAAGATTGCCCATAGAGAACCACTGATCAGCTGTTTAAAATCGTTGTCTTCCGAAGCTTCTGTCTGGAAAACAGCCATTTTGCGAAGGGAGGGAAGCCATTTTACAAAGGGCAGCTATTTGGCGGAGCCAGAAAAAATCATCGTTTAGTGAACAAACGGTTTGCAAAGCAGGCTTCTAATCAACGTCAAGCAAAAAAAACCCATTGGAACCATCGTTTTGCAGTTGCAATAGCGATCATAAAAAACTCATTGCCTAAAAAACTAATTATCAAGCAATTTCGTCGTCAAGCGGGGCACCACTGTAAAGCCATAGAACAAAATAAAATCTTACCAAAATTCCACGAAGGAAGGGATGTATGCAAAGAAATCGCTGTGTGGCACTGGAAGGCTGTATATCTTGGCCAAACCGCTCAAGAACCTAAAGTTCTGTTGGGAGTGTAGTTATTTTGAAAAGCAAAGAGGGCAAGAAATAACAAGCGAGGGCATCGGAGAACAAAACAAGGTTTTATTGCTGGTATCAAGAGCTTTTGCAGATCTCTGTGTAATACCAGGAGACGGGAATTTATAGAAAACTGAATGTTGGGTTTGAGGGGGATGAAGAGCCATATCGTTTATGCCTATCCTGTCTTGAAGATGGTCTCCCTCTGGGCTGTGAACGCGTGAGATTGGTGGGGAGTAGCCCATTCAAATGCTATCAACCCTCCAATGAAATCCCAGCAATTAGAAATCTAGCACTTCAGGGAAAAGACTAGGCTACTAGCCTGCTAGATTTCTGTGTGCAGGGAGTGGATAATAACTTGGCTAAATGGCCTCCGGAGAGAGATTAAGACACTAGGAAGAGTCAAATGAACCCTGACGGTGCTTATCTTCTTTAGATCACCCTGGATGATGGCGGTGTGGAGGCCGATCACGTCATTAGCGCTTTGCCAGCCAGAGGTAGGAAGGGCCACCTTTGCTTTTGATACCGGGGTTTGATGACCTCAGCAGCCTTGGGTCCTTTTTTTTAAAGGAAGAAAACTAAATAAATAAACAAAGGAGCATCAAAGGAAGGGGGCTGGCTACCAGCTGGAAGAGCAAGACTCCGTATTGACACCGGGTCTTGCTTGTGGGGATTGTTGCGGACGTTAGAGGGAGGCTTCCGGGCAAAAAAAATTAAATTAAATTAAAATCACTCGCTCGTCTTTCCTTCTGCGCTTCCTGCTTCTCCTTCATGTTCTCTTCCTGCTTTCAGCGCTGGCCGAGTCGCTCCCCGCCTGGGCCGAGCCGCTAGCCCGGGAGCTGTTAGCCATCCAAGCCGTTTCGGTGGCGGTGGTGAATTTACAGTACGAAAACGTGGTGCTCCCTGTTACGGTAAGCCACTGCCTCACCCACCCACCTCGTCATCCGTAGTCAAAGCATAAAGCGGTAGAGAAAAACGATCTCTTTTCCCTGGGCCGGATTGTCGATTCGGTCTTCTGCAGACATATTTGCCCGCTGGGGGGTCCCGCTGGGCTTGACGACGGCTGTTTCCAAACTTTGGCTCATCGTCTGGCTGTGCTGGTGTAATGTGCGTTTTCGATATCTCTTTTCTTCCAGGGTTTTGGGCACCTTGTTCCTTCCTTCCAGGACAGCTCCTTGCTGGGCATTGTTTACGACTCCGTCGCTTTTCCCGAACAGGACGGATCCGGAAGGGGTGGCGTGCGCCTGACGGTAAGAGCTGGGCTGAGGGAGTAGGGAACGGGCGAGGAAATACCTTAAGACCAAAAATCTTCAGTCCAATTGCAAGTAAAGGGGCTCACTATGGGGCCCGTGAACACATTTGATATTTTCCAGATGAAAAATTAGCTTTTTGCAGTTGTTTTGTTTCCTCTGGGAATTAAAGCGTTTTATCGATTTGCCGCTGAGCTGTTAGTGAGGATGGAGTTTCAGCGGTCTGTGGGTTACCGTCGTTTACAAAAGTTTGCTTTTATTCCAAGCTTGGGAATGGATTTGGGGAGAGTTCCCCTGCGGATGCTGAAAACGGCAGATAATAGCAAACGCTATACATAGCGTGGTAAAAGAGAGGGAAAAAATCAGAAAAAAAGTATTTTTACCATTTATTACATTGAACTGGCCACCAGAGGGAGCCAGAGACCATGTTGTGTAGGCTTCAACAACAAGACTATGGTAGTATGGTCTCTGGCTCCCTCTAATGGCCGGTTCTGTAAATACATCATGAAAATATGCATTTCTAGTTTTTTTTCCTAATTTTTAAAAATATTATTAGACTGGGTAAGTGAAACCACAGATACTGATCCCATGGATATGGGGGGGGGTAACTGCACTAAATAGGCTAAATCATTGTGAAGCTCTTTCTGGTGTTCTTTGCTTTGTAGGTGATGCTGGGCGGTGCGTGGTTCACACCGGGTCTCGGGGACCCCGACAAAATCTCCCATGCGGCTTTGTTGCAGCGCGCCCAGGCTGCCGTCAAGGAACACCTCGGGATATTGGCCGAGCCCTTCCGCACTATTGTCAAGGTTCAAAAAGTATGTATCCTGGAATTGGTGCGACAGAGAGATTATTTATTGGAAGCCTTGGGAGCCACCGGATGGGAGGAAGAAGTCTTTTGTTGCCAAATATCCCTGCTGTTGGTTGACATCACCAGCAGGGGGAGACTTTTTATTTATTGGAAGCCTTGGGAGCCACAGGATGGGAGGAAGAAGTCTTTCGTTGCCAAACATCCCTGCTGTTGATTGACATCACCAGCAGGGGGAGACTTTTTATTTATTGGAAGCCTTGGAAGCCACAGGATGGGAGGAAGAAGTCTTTCGTTGCCAAACATCCCTGCTGTTGGTTAACATCACCAGCAGGGGGAGACTTTTTATTTATTGGAAGCCTTGGGAGCCACAGGATGGGAGGAAGAAGTCTTTCGTTGCCAAACATCCCTGCTGTTGGTTTATATCACCAGCAGGGGGAGGACTTTTGGTAACGAAAGAGTTCCTTCTGCCATCCGGTGGTTTCCAAGGCTTCCACACGATGGAAGAGGATTGTTCACAGGTCAGGAAGCACATGGGTGAGGGCGACAGCCACTTCGCTCGAGGGGCATGAGGAATGGAAAAGCATACCGGTGTGCCAGCTGGGGATTCTGGGAACTGTAGCTCCAAACAGGAGACATTCCCCGCCCACAGCAATTCATGTAAGTGAAATGAAGATCTTCCAGGGTGAGATTTTGAACGTTCTAAAATATTGTCTATGTTTTGCAGGCCTGCATCCCGCAATACACGCTCGGCCACTGGAAACACATAGGTAGGCCTTGAAAGATTCTCTTCCTCTGCTCCCAGAATAAATTATCTGCCTGGAGGATGGTGGGATATGTAGTCCCCGGTATGATTTTTGGCTTCCCCAAACCCTGCCTTAAATCTCACCCGCTCCATACAGATTTGGGTGGTTTAGCGCCAATTCAGGGCTCCTAAGCGGAGATGTAAAAATTTCTGAAGAATTCCACAGGGAAAACAAACAGGGAAGAAACTGTGTGTTTATTGGGCGGGGGAAAAATGGAAATTTTTGGAAATTTCACATCTAAACCTAAGACCCCCTTTTCTCTCGGAAAATGGAAATTTTTGGAAATTTTACATCTAAACCTAAGACCCCCTTTTCTCTCTTTCTTTCTCTCCAGAGAATGCCAAGGCTTTCCTGGAACAGAGAGAGCTGCCTCTGAGCCTAGTAGGGGCTTCCTACGAGGGTGTATCCGTCAACGATTGCATCGCCAATGCCCGGACGGCGGTGACCAAGCTTCTCGGCCAAGTCTGAGCCTCAGATTCCCAGACTGGAAAAAAATATATATATGGTTCCCTCGGCCGACGATGGCTCGCTTCCCATCCGGCTTTCCTTCCAGGACCCTGGGCCAGAAGGGTATGGCGTCGGGTTTTTCCAGCGAGGAATCCCCCAACCTCCTGTGGTTTTTAAAAGGTGAAGAGGTGGTTGTAGAATGGAAAAAATATCCTTAATTTTCCTCCTTTTTCTTGCTTAGAATGGACGTTTTAAGGGCTGTGAAGGAAAAAAAAATCAAAGGGGGCTGAAACGTCAGGCCTCCAGGACCCTGGGCCAGAAGGGTATGGCGTCGGGTTTTTCCAGCGAGGAATCCCCCAACCTCCTGTGGTTTTTAAAAGGTGAAGAGGTGGTTGTAGAATGGAAAAAATATCCTTAATTTTCCTCCTTTTTCTTGCTTAGAATGGACGTTTTAAGGGCTGTGAAGGAAAAAAAAATCAAAGGGGGCTGAAACGTCAGGCCTCCAGAAAGGCCTAAATGTGAAGAAGAAAAAAAATCTCAGGAATGTGGCAAAGGGGGCTGAAACGTCAGGCCTCCAGAAAGGCCTAATAATAAGCAGTAATGACATGCCGTCAGGCCAATTCTGACTGATGGGCGACCCTTTTTGGGGTTTTCCAGGTAGATATAAGCAGTAATGACATGCTGTGGGGTTTTCCAGGTAGAGAATATTCAGAAGTGCTTTACCCTATCCTTCCTCTAGGGGCGCTGTGGGACTCTGTGCAGCTTGCCCAAGGCTACCCAGGCTGGCTCTTCTGCCTGGAGGCCCAGTGGGGGAATTCGAACTCCCAACCTCTGGCTTAAACCATTAAGCTTTCCAGCCAGCTTCACTCAGATCGGCTTTGGAGTTTTCTAGGATTCAGAGAGCCCTAGAAACCCCCTATTTCCCCATGGGGTGAGCGACGGCCTCATGCTTTCCTGCCCACCTTATCCAGAGGGGGGAACGAAATACTTATTTTTCTCCTGTCACATCACACCGAAAGGGTGGTTCTGCTGCTTTTCAAAAGACCCTCAAATGTTCACTTATCTATTCCCAATTTTTAAAAAATGAACCATACATCATCATTCAATTTTAACTCAACAAAGTCTGAAAAGAGTGATTTTTCTCTTAGGGTGAAACCTCCACCCCTATGTTGGGTTTTGATCTGCAAATGTAGTAAACCCCCCTCCCCTGCGCATCCTTACTCGTGGGTTGTCCTGGCTGGGGTTCATGGGACCCGTAGTCCGAAGCATCTGGAGGATTGCCAGATGGTTCAAAAGCTCCTGTAATTTTTATATCCACCTTAAACATGCACCCCGATGCACTGGGGAGGCGCCCACGGCTTTCCTGGCGGCTGTGCAGAAGCAAAAGGGAACATTTGGAATGCTGATGTTTTTGGGCTGTCGGAGGTTAATTCTGCCCCCATTTCTGGTGAAGGTCTTAAGGGCTTGGGGTTTTACACCAGGTAGAAATTCAACAGGTAGACTATGCAGGAGTGTGGAGTCGTCTACCTGTACTCTGGATTTCAGCTTGCAGAATTTCAGCTTGCAGAAACACCCGGGACCAAATAGCCAGTGGTCTGGGAATTAGGGACCTTTCTCCCATTTATTCTCCTGGAATGGGAGTGACAGCTGTGGACTTTTTCTGCCTGGCGCCTTCGGAGGCAGAAACCCGAGATCAGGGCGGGCAAAAGATGGCGATTTAACTGGAAAGGACGACACAGTATTTAATCTACGGACAATATATTTTTATTTCTTTTTTTTAAAAAAAGCCATTATCAAAAACAGGAGTGGAGGGAGCATAGGGGCCTCTATCGTCAAGAGAGAACTCCATAAATAGAATAAATAACTACACACTGTTGGCTAAAAGCTCGAGATTGTGAGACGCACAAGAGGGGTTCAGAGGTGGGCAGGGTCTCTTTGACAGAGGGGGGGGGACCAGCCCTAAAGGTATTTGGTGTGTTTTGTGTGACACAAGACTACAGCTACAATTTCGGTGCACACAGCAGGGGCAAGCAGCTGTGGCCCTCCAGATGTTGTTGTGGACTACGGCTCCTATCATCCCCCCGCTGCCGGCTAAGGGGAATGGGAGCCAAAGACCCGAAATCTGGGAGGGGGGCCCACAGAGGCCGTGCTTACAAACCCAGCTTTTTTGGGGGGGACTCAATGAGAGTGATTGACGAGAAAAACAAAACAGTGCAGCAGCTTAAAGAAAGGAGTGGTGGTCTGCCTCGTTACACCGGTGTAGGCAGCTCTCCTCTCTGGATCCAGCGATGCCTTTCCCCGGCAGGATTGTGGCTACAGAGTCCGGTGTATTCGGAGGCAGAACTGAGATTCCAGCATCCGGTGACCGGCCTTCGGAAGGCGCGAGGAGCGGTTATTGCTGCAGAGGGGAGAAAACCTATGACGGGTTCAGGGTCGCTCAACGAGCGGCGCTTTAAAATCCTTGGCAATTAAATTCGCGTCTTGCTGGGCATGAAACGAATCCAGATGTTCCGGCATTAAAGGAGAGCTGTAGCCAGAAGTGGGAAAAAGACTGGGGGGCGCAGACAACAAACCTTAAGTCTTCTTGGCAAAATCGCGGACTGCGTCGCGGTCGGTTTGCTGCCCGTCCGCCGGATCTTCTTCCTCGGAGGTGGAAAGCAGAGAGATGACCCCCTCCGTGCAAAGTCTGCTTCTCTCCGGCGCGATCGGATGATGTGGACGAAAGCGGAGTAAGGGGGCGTGTGAAAAATAACGGGGCCAAGGAAAGCCAAAGATGGATTTACAAAAAAACGGGGAAAGGCCGGTCTGTGTTTGGACTCGAAAGGCTCCTAAAGAGGGTCGGGGCAGCCGCGCCCAGCTGCAGGCTTCGCGTCCAGGGACCCCCGTGGCCGCCGTGAGCCGACAGGGCCGTGGGAGCGCAGGACGCACATTCTGTTCTGGAGCTACAAGCCGTGTAATCGCAGCTTCCGCCGGGATGGCTTGCTTCTGCTTACGAGGAACCTGCCACCAGTGGGAGGATGGGGGAGAGCGCGGGACGAGCCCCACAGGCGATTCGGGGGTCGGACCAAACTTAGACCACCGCTCTCCCCTAACCTTCACATTTCAAGTAAACGTTGTCGCTCTTTAAAACAGTGTCGAGACAGAGAGTCTCCCCCCCGCCCCAAACCTGCCCTCTGTAAGCACCCGGTAGTGGGATAAGACCCCGACGCAAGGGGTGGGCAAGGCCATGCCACGGGGCAAGCTTTCTGACAAAGCTGAGCCAGGATTTGGGTTTCCTGCTTTCAGGAGGGGGAGCTGGAGCCCGGAGCCGTTCCCGTAAGGGGAGGACGGCGCGGATCTCCTGCCCGTCGCCGCTGTGACGTCCTCGCCCACTTCGGGGCCTCTCTGCGGTCCTGGATCTGGGCGAAGTCCGGCTTTGAAACCCAGCAGGGAAGAGCGTCCTCGACCCCCTCCGAGCCCCAGCGCCGCCTAGGATTGGTTCTAAAGCACCGAGGCTTGGCGACAAACTACGTGGATGTGCCTTTTTTAGTCCACGATTTCGGGGCCGGTGTGGTTGCTCTTTGGCTTCCGGAAGGAGGCGTCTGGGGCGGGGGTGTCTGCCGGAGGTTGGCGGGAGCCGGCGCTCGGTTGCCCTGCTCTGGACGCCTGTTTCCTTTTCCGAGCATCTTCTATCCGGTGCTTCAGGGCGTCCGAGGTGGGGCTGATCGGGGAAGAAGCAATACGGCTCGTTTCTCCCTCCTCCTCTCGAGTCATGCCAGGAGACCGCTTCGCTTCTTTTCCCGCGGCGGGGTTCGTCGGGGGGTTCTCCGACTTGGGGGGCACCGGTTCCTTCCTCCCGGCCTCCAGCAGGGCCTGGACGGTGGCGAAAGGCACCTCTCCCCACCCCATGGCCTGGGAGAGTTTGGCGAAGGGGGTCTTCCGCAGCATCTCCTGCCGAAAGTCGTGGTTGCTGCCGGTGGGGTAGTTCCTCCCTCCCAGGCTGGGCAGGGCCGCCTTCCCGCCCTTCGCCGCCCGCGGGTTGGTACCGATGTCAGCCGTGATGTTGGTGTACAGCGGGAGCAGCTCCTTCGACAGGAGGGTGTAGGCCAGGGAGTTCATGCCGTCCTGCGTCCACGCCCGGTGGGTCCGGATCAGGAGGTCAAACCTGCAAGGGAAGAAAGGCCGGAGCAGAGGTTTGGTCCGCCAGCTGCTATAAATCTATTATTTTAATTTAAATGATTTATAAGCGGCCTTTCTCCTTGGACCAGGGTGGCGTACAACAGATAAAACAACAGATTTTAAAAACTAAGCGGCCTTTCTCCTTGTCCCGGGGTGGCGTCCAAGAGATAAAACAACAGATTTTAAAAACACGATAGATCAGATTTTAAATACAAATGGATATTAAGGCTAAAAATCAAGTTTAGAAACAGTCCGGAGCGTTTAATAAGAATCCACCATGTGCCGTCAAGTTTAGGTCCTTTTAAAGAGAAAGGTGGGGTAAAAATATTTTCAATAAATAACAGCAATAAATTTCCCAGGTAGAGAATACTCCAAAGTGGTTTTACCCTCCCCTTCCTCTAGGGGCGCTGTGGGACTGTGCAGCTGGCCCAAGGCTACCCAGGCTGGTTCTTCTCCCAGGGGGGGAATCGAACTCCCAACCTCTGGCTCTAACTCACTGAGCTATCCAGCCAGCTGCTAGCCACTGCACTGCGGTCCCCGGAGAAGAGAAAGCGGGCGTACCTGTGCGGGTTTTCCTCGTTCCTAACTCACTGTCCAGCCAGCTGCTAGCCACTGCACTGCGGTCCCCGGAGAAGAGAAAGCGGGCGTACCTGTGCGGGTTTTCCTCGTTCCCCTTGTCGCCCTTGTGCTTCACCATCTTGTAGTGCCCCACGGAGACCGGCGGCCGCGAAATCTTCAAGCCGGCCAGGCGTATCCTGCGGGGGAACGCAAGAGTCCAAGAATCAGGACTAGATTAGGGGGTCCTGACATTTCCAGGGGGCGGGGTCTACCGAAGTCCCTCCCTCACCCAATCATCTTTTCATAGATTAGTGAATTTGGAAGTATGGTGTCCAGAACTGGACACAATATACAGTGGTGCCTCGCTTAATGATTGCCCTGCATTACGATGAATCTGCTTTACAACAATCTTTTTGTGATGATCGGTTCCGGGCTTTGAGAACCGATTTTCGCTTTACGACGATCAAAAACAGCTGATCGTCAGGTTTTCAAAATGGCTGCTGGGTGCTTAAAATGGCTCCCCACTGTGCTTAGGGATGGATTCCTCGCTATACAGGCAGCAAAAATGGCCACTGTATGGAGGATCTGCGCTGGATGGTTTTTATCCCATTGGGACGCATTGAAGGGGTTTCAATGCGTTTCAATGGGGTTTTTAATTTCACTTTAAGATGTTTTCGCTTAACGGCGATTTTCCTGGAACGGATTATCGTGTTTAAGCGAGGCACCAGTGTACTCAAGGTAAGGCCTAACCAGGAGAACAAGTATCTCATGGGGTTTGGAGACTTATACCTCTCTTAATAAAGCCCAAAATAGTGTTTGCCTTTTCTGCAGCAACACCACACGGGTGGCTCATATTCAGCTTGTGATCTAGGACGATTCCAAGCTCCTTCGCACTCGTGGTATGGCTGAACCAAGTATTCCCCCATTTTCTAACTCTGGTTTCTTTTTCTGAGGTGCAATCCTTTGCGCTTCTCCCCGTTGAATTTCATTCTGTTTTTTTTCCAGCCCAGTGGCTCCAGCGTATCAAGATCACTTTAAATTTTGTTTCTGTCTTCCCAGGGTATTAGCGATTCCATCCAACTGTGTGGCATCTGCAAATTTGATTACCATACCCTTCATCCCCTGATCGAGGTTATTCATAAAAATGTTGAAGAGCCCTAGATCCAGGACTGAGCCCTGGGCTACCCCATTTATCATCATCCTCCGAGTACGATTCCGGACACGATCTATCCAGCCCACACCTCGTTAGCTTGCTAATCAGGATATCCCAACATCACACAAGATGTTGGTAGGGGTGGTGCTGTGAGGTGAGAGAATTCCAGCCCACCAGGGCACTGGATTCGAGTCAGGTCTTTTTTAACCTGTCCGTTTTAGGCTGGGTTTTTCCCCCCCTCAGGAAGAATCAGGAACTGGCATTGCAAAACTCCCACTCTAGCTTCTTGCTGCTTTTTCTTTATTCTCAGCTCGGGGGGTTAAGAATTAAATTGTTTTTCCCCCACACGGGGAGGGGGAATAGCTGCCATGGCAACCCAGGGAAAAAGCCATCATCGTCAAAAGCATGCCAAGGGCACACCTCGGGAGTAAGGAAGAGCTAAGGTTTGCCCTGGATAAACGACAGGAACCATTAAAAAAAAGTCAATTTTTTCGGGGGGCTGCTTTGTGGATCACGGTCTCGGCGACACCCATCATCCCCCAAGTGCTAAGGCATCCAACGGCAGCTTCTTCGTGGAGGCCCTGGACCACAGCACCCATCATCCCCAGCGGGTCAGCTGGGTTCAAGCATGATAGGAATGGGAGTCCAGTCAAAAACAACGGGATGTCCCCTCGTCCCACTTTCAGCCCATACTGCTGTTCCCCAAACCGCCATAGGCTCCCTCCGCTTCCGACTCCGAATCCCACGGTCCCTTGCTGAGCCGCATTGGCTGGGGACGATGGAAGCGGTAGTACAAAACAGCTGAAGAGCCTTGGATTTTTTTTGGGGGGAAGGCTGGTATCCTCTATTCTGTTTGAGACTTAAACTCCTGTGGTGGCTCATCCATCCCTCAGGCTGGCTGTGGATGATGGGAGCGGTAGTCCAAAGCATCTGAAGGGCACTCTGGAGAAGGCTAGCCTGCGCCAGGACTGACAGGATGATGGAGCCAGACACACCCTCACTTACCTGGATTCTGCCGCCTAACTTTACCACACCCTGTGTGAGGAGAAATGAGCATGCAAAGGTCCCAGGGAGCAGAGAGAGAGAGACAAAGAAAAAGGAGAGATGATGCTGATGATCATGATGATGATGATGAAGGAGGGGAGAAGGAAGGCAGTGCCCCAGCTGGAACTGTACAAACTGGGGAATGGAATAAGCGTTACACACACAACGGGGAAGAGAACAAGCGACGCACCTGGTACTACGAGCACTGGGTTCAAGATCTAGGCTGTACTGGAGGAAGACCAAAACAATGGAGACAATGACCCCCAAAACGGCCTAAACAAACACTTTTGTCTGGAAAATGCGTGTCACTATGGGGTGGTTCTGCACCACAAACGCGGAGGAGGAAATACTGTATTTCCACCAAAGCTGGCCCTCAACTGCTGCTCCTTTTTTTTTTTAAAAAAAGGAAGTTTCTAGTCCTCAGGTTTGGGGACCGGCCTGCCAGCAGGCCCTGCTTCGTGAGAGCGGGCACTGTTTCCAGCAGCGAGAAGGCCTACGGCCACTGAGACTGGCGGCCCAAGCGGTTCAACCTACGGCGGGAGGTCAGAAGCGCAGGAAAAACAACGCCCGTTTGAAGCATCAGCCTCGAACGCAGAGGAAAGGAGTCGCTCACCTGGTGGCAATGTCATCATCCTCGCCCCCCCAGCCCCAGTACTCGTTGGGGAAACCGTTGATCTTCAGGTACTGCTCCGGAGTGAGAGCCGAGACGCCCCCAAAGTACTGCGCGTAGGGAAGGCTGGAGGCAGAGAGAGAAAAATCAAGATTTCGCACAGCAGGATTCGGGAGGAGCGAATCAACGGAAACCGATCCTGCCGATCCCGGGATCCGACTGTATTTAGGAGTTGGGATTCGTCGACAAAAAAACTAACAGCTCAGTTTAGTCCCAGTTAGTTCAAACCCTGCAGTTGCGGACACTGATCCGGAATTCGACTGTATTTAGGTGTTGGGATTCGTCGACAAAAAAACAGCTCAGCTTAGTCCCAGTTAGTTCAAACCCTGCAGTTGGTTCACCGTTCTTTAATTCGTGCCGAGATCCCCTCGCCCTGGATCTACGCCCGTGATTCTTAACCTCCGGGTGCACAAATCTACCTGAACGACAACTCCCATCGGCCGAGCCGCGGACGATGGAAACGGCCACCCGACTGCATCCGAAGGCCCAGTTCCGAATGCCATTCGGGTGCCTCCCGGTGCATGGCGGGAAACCGAAACGGAGGTTTCCCAAGCCCGCCTCGGCCTGCGGCTTCCCCCAGGAGAGCCGATTTCGGCCACGCGACCCCAGACGTGGCCCCGAAAAGGGGCCAAACCTGGAAATCTGTCACTCAGACCCCCCCAAAGCGGCGCCACCCGGAAAGCCTCTCAGGCGCTCCCGACGGGCCTCCGCTCCTTACTTGTATCCGAACTTGTTCATGGCGATGGAGACGTGCTTGGGGCTCCAGGGGTCGCAGACGTAGAGGTTGTGGTCGTTCTCGGGGATGAGATCCACGTCGTGGACGAACAGGCAGGACCACTCCTCGTCCTTCAAGGCCTCCTTGACGCCCACGTTCAGAAGCTTGGCCCGGTTGAACGTGGCGTTCCCGGCCTGTAGGGGTGGGGGGAGAGCAGGGGTTGATGAACGGGGCAGGAGATGATGAGAGGAGAGGCCGTGAGCCAACCCAACATAAAAAGTGAAAAAAGGCTCCTTGCAAAAGACAGAGGAGCCGTTCCACACTCAACCCTCCCTCTGCTTCTTTCAGGGCTTCCGGTGGCTGGACTACAAACCCCATCGGCCCCATCCAGGACGGTGGCTACAACAGTCCAGCTGTCTCCGGAGGCTCAACTTCGGAGCCACTGAGCTGAAAATTGGGGCAAAAAAGGGGGTCCCCTTGTCAGAAAAAAATATATGGCTGCAGTTTATGCCTCTGGCTGCAGAGTCAAGAGGGTTGGGAGTTCGAATCCCCACGGTGCCTCCTCGACGGGGTTCTGGGCAAGATGGTCTAGAGGATCCCTTCCAGCTCTGCAGGGCTAATATTATTCTTATAATTCAAAAACACCAGGCATAGTCAATCGGAACTATAAAAACACTGACTGGTGTTGTATAATAGGGACAGGCTTTAACCAAAAACCTATCTGTTGTTGATGATGATGATGAGAGAAAGGAGGCCGCCCCCCTTGTATCTATCGGCCAGAACAGTGGCAAATAAAGGCCACGGGCCCACCCACCTGATGGACCACGTAGATGCCGTACTGCAGCTGCTGGCGTTGTAGAAAAGGGTGCAGGTAGTAGAGCAAATATCGCAGGTGGGTCTCCCGGTTGCGGTGCGGGATGATGATGGCCGTCCGGGAGCGCGGCTCGCAGTTGGGAGGCTGGTACCGGCCTCCGGGGGTCACCGCGGGGTTCTTCTCCCGGATCTGCTCCAGCGTCGGCACCTGGCTGAAGCTCACCGTCAGGGGGCCGACTGAGATCGGGCCGGTAGAGCAAGGAGACGAAAAAGAAGCAGGGGATCAGAAAGAGCACCCTTGCAAGGTCACACACCCCAGGTTCCAAAAAATAAAATAAAAAAAGAGGCCCCGGTGCTTGTTCTGGACACGGATAAAATCTCAAAGCACTCCTAAGTTCCTGGTCCTCAAGAGAAACGTTTTTTAAAAAAGCAAGAGAATCGTGTCTGGCTAAACGCTTCTCGGACCAGATGCGGAGAGCTAAGCCGCGTTCACCTTTCTCTTGTCATGCTAAGGGGACTCTGTGCGTGTCAGGACTTTGAGTGATTAAATCTTTAAAGCAGGATTTTGGAGCAGGGCAGGGAGTGGCGGACAACCTAACCCCAAAGATAAGGATAACAGCAGCAAATACTACACACGCACACGAACACACACACATATCCAATTTTGAGGTCTTCATTCCTTTCTTCACTATGATAAAGAGCTTGGCCTTGGGTAAAGCTTGGAAGACATTTGCTTCCTTCCCTCGGCTCGGGTGGCCGGGTTAATGGGGGCTACTGGGAGCTGTAGTCCAAAGGGCGCCTTTCTAAGCTGCTCAAAGATTCTGGACTTGGTAGAAAGGTGGCTTCCACCACTCCGAGTTCCATCCTCCACAGCCGCCTCCCTCAACCCGACACTGTCTAGATGCATCAGGCTACCCCCGTACTGAAATGCCCTCAAGATGGGCCAGAGGGCAGCTCCCGAGGGGCTGAGAATGATGGGAGTCGTAGTCCAACAAAGCTGGAAAGCAGCCGTAGGTGGGGGACCTGGCTTATCCTGGCCATCGACCCATTTGCTTAGATGGGAGTCGTAGTCCAACAAGGCTGGAAAGTACCCGTGGGTGGGGGACCCGGCTTATCCTGGCCATCGACCCATTTGCTTCCAAATGCATTGTCCTCCAACAGAGGTTCATAATAATAATAATAATAATAATATCTCTTCCAACAGAGGTTCATAATAATAATTATAATTAGCTGTCATTTCCTGCATCAGCAGCAGGTCAGACTGGATGGTCTTTGGGGAACCCTTCTGCTTTCCAACGGGATAGGATCGCCCTCTGCCCTGCCAGGAGAGGTTGGCAAAGCGGATAGAAAAAAGGTGGACGGGTTCAGACCTTTCTCCTCCTTGAAGGAAATCGTTCCTTCGCTACCCCTCCCGGACCTTCGCTCGGGATCTGTTACGTTCGATTAAACATTTACCTAAACCCAAGCACGAGGCAAGAGATCGAGCCTCGACGGGAAAAGCGCTGGGCTCATGCACTTTGTATCTTGGCTTTCATTATTTCTCCCTCGCACGCCTTTGGCCGTTTTACCCTGGCTTGAACGAGGCAGAGTTTGGGAGTTCGAATCCCCCCCCCCTTGGAGTCTCCTGGAGAAGGGCTAGACTGGATGATCTCTAGAGTCCCTCCCATTGGAGTCTCCTGGACAAGGGTTAGACTGGATGATCTCTAGAGTCCCTCCCAGCTCTGCCATTATCCGATTATTATTAATTTGAGGATCGCAGCCTGTTTGCATCTCACCAATCAATTAGTTCAGGACTCTTTGACGGGAAGAAACTAACAGGGTGAATTCGGTCGAGGTTTCTTGGTGGAAATAGTTTTATCCGGGGGGCCTCGAAAACCCAGAATCCTTGATTAAGAAAAATCCACCCACCCACGCCCGTCTCTTGTTGTCTGCATTCTGCCCCTTGGCCAGGGCGTTCCGGCTTTACAACCCCACCCTCGCCGATTGGAAGCACCGATCCTGGCACGCGTGACTCACTGAGATAAGGCGACCGTTCGGGGCAATAGGGCAGAGGTTTCCCGGGCCTCCCGCTGTGGGTCTGCAGCAAGAGGCTGAGGTTGGTGTAGACATCGCGGGTCCGGGAGTAGTCGAAAGACGGGTTGGCCTCGTGCCCGAAAATAGAGGCCAGATTCCGGAAGCCACCGAAGGAGAAATAAGCCATGAAAGCAAACTGGAAGCCGATCAGGAGGGCCAACGTGCAGGGCCGGTCCAGAAGCCGCCGGAGCATGGCGCTGGGGTGCGGCCGGGCGTCCTTTCTGGGCGCCGGGAGGACAGCGATCGCACCTGCAAAAAAGCAGAAGAGGGGGTCGCTTGAGGATTCCTGGCTGGAGGACTATGGGTTTTGTAGTCCAGAGAAGGTCCCGCATTTCCAAGTCCAGATTTGGGACACCGATTTATGCCTAGCCAGCTTTACGAATCTCATTGACTATTTTGTATCGCACCGCCAGAGCGCCTGGCGACTCCAAAATTTAAAAAGACAGAATCTTGCCGACCTATCCGTCTATCTACCGTGTTTCCCCAAAAATAAGACATGGTCTTATATTAATTTTTGCTCCAATAAAAGCAGTAGGGCTTATTTTCAGAAGATTTTTTTTTCATGTACAACAATCTACGTTATTCAAATACAGTCGTCTCATCTTCTGGTTGCTGAACAAGAGTAGAGGGTGGGGTTTCACTTAACTAGGGCTGGTTTTCAGGTTAGGCCTTATTTTCAGGGAAACGGTAAAATATTCTAACCTCACCTTTTTGCCAAAGGTGGATTACATGATTAAAAGACAATATTTTTAAAGCAAACAACGGGGAGTATGCAAATACTAAAAAGGGATCAAATCAAGGACCACGCTAAAAAAACGGTAAACAAAAGCAACACCAAAACACATTCAAAGAAGTAATGATTCTCCCCCCCCCCCACACTGCTTGGGGGATGCTGGGAATTGTAGTCCAAAACATCAACGTTCCCGAGCTGTACCATGGGATTTTTTGATGGACCCCGGTCGCCAGTGTGAAAGCACTGGTGGGTCTAAATAAAATTATATAGCCCCCCCAAACAGCCCAGAGATCACTAGGGCACCCATCATTTCTTATGATAAGGCCTGGGGCTGCTGGGATTTGTAGTCCCAACAACTTCCACATGGGGGAAAAATTAATATTGATATCCTTACCCCTCGTGACCCGCACAAAATCCCTTTTGCCCCACGACATGTTCCTTCAAAGACGAGCAATCCTCTTAACTGACAACACATACATTCAGAATGTGAGGTTTTTCATCTGACTCCCTGACGTTCCATGTCAGAATGACGATTCACTGGTCCCCTCCCCCCGCCCAAGACAGAACTCAAAGGCACCAGTACAGGACTGGGAAGAACTGGCTCTGCACCAGTACCTAAAAGAAAAACCTAGGTTACTTTAGTGGGTCCTGAGTAGGAGCCAGCAGAGAGACATTGCGGCTAATAAGGCAAACACAATCCTTAAGCCGGCTTAATGGAACCATGAAGAGTAACAGCTTTACTCTGTTTTGGGGTTATTCACCATCTCTGGGTGCTGCGTTTTAAGAAAGACACGGACGAGCCGGGGGTGTGAACACGGACATTGTGGGGACTATCGCTTATGAGGAAAGATGTCCAAAGTTTGATCTGCAGACCCTATAGATGAAAACGGGCAGAAAAAAAATAGAGCCATCTGCAAATATTTGAACACTCGGACCTGGAGATGCTCCCTTTTGCTCCACAGGACCAGATGTTCGGAGATGCTTCCTAAATGCTGTTCTGTCTCGGAAAATGGGGTGCGCTCTTCTGCTGTCAGTAATTAAGCGGAGCGTACGGGATCAGGAATCAAGAATAAATAGGGCCACAATTACTGACTCCAGGTTGTATGGAACAGGCGGCTGGACCAGCAAGCGGTGGGTCTCTGCTTTGGGCCCTCCAGATGTTTCCAACTTCAGTTCCAAATCATCTGGACAGCCGAAGATCAAAAAGGACTGGGTCAGAGCATTATTTTTCAAACTGGGATTCCCCAGATGTTCTTGGACTGCAATTCCCAGAAGCCTTTTCACCCCTTGCTGTGCGGGCCAGGATTTCTGGGAGTTGTAGTCCTTAAGAACATCTTAAGTTTGAGGATCATTAAGGACCTGTAGGACTGGAAATGCGAATTTTCACGGGGGCTATCCAGACCCCTTTATTTAGCATGACCCTTGCCACAAGCTAGTCTCCTCCAAACCCCACCCGTCCCAGCCTTAAGGGGGACGATGGGCGTCGTGAACCAAAACGCTGATTTGGAGACGGCTCCGATACGCTCATCCTTCCTCACCCACTCAGGTCTCTCTGGCGTGGAAACGACGACGGCGGGTCAAAAGCTAGGAAAAATCACTCACGACACCCCAGCTATGGAAAAATGCAGAAAATAGCCGCCAGCCCCCCACCCCACCCGAAGGCACAAATAAAATAATTAAAATAAATCTCAGTCAATTCAGACATTGTTCCGAACATACAGAAATAGCGCGACGTTGACAGGATGGGATTCTGCTTTGGTACCAAAAGTGGGGTAGGACACGAGGAGAAGCCACCCTCCGGGGTCAGTGAGCAGCTAAGGATGATTCGGTAAAACAAATACATCATTTTCTGTTCTCGCAAAAGGCTAATAAGTTTAAGTTTATTTCCCTATTACGCTTGCTTAGTCCTTTGGGCGCCCGGTACGGTTTTGCTCTTTTCGGTGGCCGCAAAGGAAATAAATTAGACCCTAGGAATTTCCATTACATTAGAATATCGGAAGGTTACGCGGCCGACTTAATTTATGAATTTTTTAACACACGAAACGGGAAGCCCACCGCCTGGGACACGCCGTGTGCTGGGAAAGCCAAGGTCAGAGGAGGATGAATCATCTTCCCAAGCCTTTCACGGCGTTCCAAAGGCTAATTATGAGAATTATAAATTACAGTTATTACGGCCAACGCCAAACCGGGCCCGAAGTTTTCCTTTCTGCCCACCGGTAAGCGGTTCCGGAGCCAGACAATTAAGGGCTGGCAAACACCCACGCAGAACGCTTACCCCCAAAATGCTCAGTTATGGGGCCAAGCCGATTTTTGCATCCAGAAACCTAAACCTTTAACAACTTCGGAGGTCTTGGTTATGGTTGGTGAACGAGGCGCACACGTAATAAATTCATATTATTAAGAAGTCTTTGTTACATTCCTCCCTGCACCCATGGGCTATCTCAGTACACCTATTTTATCTTCACTGCAGCCCTGCAAGGTAGTCCAGAGAAATAAGCACTGATCCGGTATAATCCCATAATCTCTAAGAAGACAGCACATTTCTGCTAGCAGCCACTCTGGAAACAGTCCGAGCGCTACCTCTGTCCATATTTACTTACAGTATTTATATTCCAGTTTTTAAACCTATGAAATATCTCTAATTAAATCAGTCTCTCCTACGAATATAATGTTCCAGAACAATCCATGTTACAGACACCCTCTGCTTCCTAAAAGCTGTTAAATATGGTAATTCAGTGCATGACATTTTGGGTCCAGAATCAGATTTAGCAGGGAAAAAAAGAGGATATTTGTTTTTAAAAGCAAGGTTCTAGATTTCATAGTTGCAGAGAGAGATCGGAAAGTATATATGTACAGGCAAGCTTCGGAAGCCAGAGCGCAGGCAGAATGAGGTTTCCAGTGGCTTCGGTGTCCTGCGTAAAATCCCAGATTATCGGAAAGCAGAATAACAAGGCATAAATCCACATACAAATTTCAGAATAAATCACGGAAGGAAGAAATGACTCGGGTTGGCCTTTGTCCTTAAGACAGCGGCTGGGGAATCGGTCGATCCTGTCTCCTGGCACGGTCTGTTCCTTTCCCCCCCGAATGCCATCCTGCGAATGTCAGAGAGGCTCGGTAGCGTTCTGTGGAACTCTGAAGCTGGCACACTTGGAAGGTGAAAACTCTCTCTTCCAGTTTTGGCTTACCTTCTATCCAGTCATCTGCTCTCATGGGTTTAGCAAATCTCCAGGCTGTTCAACTTTAAGGATCCCAATGAAATGTATGGGCAGAGGAACCCACATCCATATATATAGAGATTATATATATAATCCCTAAGGGAGGCACAGCCTCTGGGGTGATCAAAGCCAAGCCAACCTGGGCAGAGGGAGGGAGGGAGAAGCAGAGGGCCAGATCCTGCCCACCCCCCATTCTCATCTACCCGGATCTATCTTCCAGAGAGAAACAGGTCATTAATTGCACCCAAGCCCTTCCTGGAAACCAGCCTTTGCAAAGCTGGCACCCAGCATCCATGATCCAGGGGGAGGGCTGGAAGTGGGGTGCAGAGGATATACCCCCTAGCCCCCCAATATCCTTTCTTGCAAGGATGCACCCCCTCCCTCCTTCCCTCCGGGTCACCTCCAGGTACCTGAATGCGTGCAATTCTCACGATCTCAACCCCACCCCAGGATCAGCAGCACCGCCGCCGCCATCTTCAAGGAGGTGGGGGGGAAAAATCGAATAAAAGGGGCGGAGAAGCAGTCAATGGGAGGGGGGAGGTTGGAAAGAGAAGGGTTTGTGACGTAGGTGAAAAGGGTGGGGGCTTTGAAAACCCCGCCCCTTAAAGGGAACTCCAGGGACGCCCTTCTCAAGGAAAGGCGTGATTCTCCATGATAACCATAAAAGGGCTGGAAGGGACCCTCGAGATCATCCAGTCCAGCCCCCTTTCCAGAAAGCCCAGGGGGGGATTCGAACCCCCAACCTCTGCCTCCGCTCAGCTGTCCAGCAGTCCTGTTGGATCAAATTTCAGACTGCTGCCGACATGGAAGGACAACAAAGAAGGGGAAAACATTGGTGGGTTATTAAATAAATAAATAAATAAATAAATAAATAAATAAATAAATAAATAAATAAAGTACACACAGGCCAAAATCCAATTGCAATTTATTATGCTAAAGAAAGTCATCTTGAAAGACTTGGCAAATAAATAAGTCGGCTGTCCTGGATCCAAATCTACTTCTTCAAACCCGAAACGGACAAAAACATGTCTTTTTATGTTTTATACCTATCCTTCTATCACGCCATCGTGGGGAAAGGTATATACAGTATATAGAGAGAGGACATATATGTGTCTCCAAAGAAGTGGATTTTTGGTCCAAAATTGTTCACAAATCTGTTTGCTTTCAAAGCGCTACAATGCCTACATTTTTTCCTTTTTCTTCTTTTTTAATATATTTTTTTCCCTTTTCTTGGAAAGGAGAGAAAGAGAGGGTCTGGCAGTTTTTTAAAATTTGATTTTCTGCACAATTTAAGCCAAAGGAGCCCTTGCAGAATTTTCCTTTGAATGCAAAGTTGTCCTGAGCCTTCTTGGAGTGAGTTGCATGCACTCCTCTGAGCATGCACAGAGCGGGAGACCGTTACAGGGTGGCCCATATGCTCTCTGCTCCAGCTATGACCAACCGTACAGTTTAATCTGTTGCAAGAAAAACGAGGCATTCTGTGGGACCATCAAGCCCGCAAAGTTTACAGTGGTAGAAAAAGCTTTAAAAGCAGTGCATTAGATACATGAAGGATGATTCCAAGTTGGCATGTTCAGTTATCTCTACTGAAACGCTATCTAAACGTTCTGTGTCTTCCCTGAGACTTTTTTGTAATACAAATTGGTGGTTTTCCAGATATCACAGCATTCTTGGTCGCTTTTTTTCCCTAGCAGCAGACTGAAACACAGCGATTTTTCCAAAGTTTCTACAAAAATAAAAGCTGGAAGGACCTGTCCTTGTGAAATGAATTGGGATAATATAAAATGTGAGGAGACATTTCCTGCAACCTGTAAAACAAGTTTATTATAGATAAGAAGCACCAGGAATCCAAATTTCTTGTCCTTTTGTGGGGGGAGAAATGCAGGCATACCAGCCCTTATTGAACTTAACAGGCCTTCCATTGCAAACTGTTGAAAGTTTTGAAAATTATCTTGTTTTCAATCTGCAACATATTTTTGGAGGGTAAGTTTTAGGTAATAAAACCCTTGGGACAGACACCGAACCTCTATTTTGGTTCTTAAAACTGTGGTTCCCACGTTAGCTCAGGATTGACTCAATCATAAATGGCAATTTTTAGTTTTATGTGATGTGGATCTTTGTATTTGTCTTTTAAGTTGTTACACTATTGTGTATTTTCTTCATAAAAATAAAATAATTATAAATGGCAGCAGCTGGTTATTGGAGGAGCGGATGCGCCCTTTAAAATCTTGAGATATGTGGTTATTTTTATTTTACGAAGCCAAAAGGTTGCGTAATTTTATGCCTGTTTTAGGGCAAAGAAATCCGATCCATGCACCACTTCTGCATATGCAATTTACGCTGCATCTCACGGACACAAGAAGAGCTTGCAAATGGCTATTGAAGTCGCCGGCTTCTGGTCAAAGATAAGTCTCATGATCTTGGCATTTTAATTTAATTTTGACTAGTTTATTTTACGTCGGTAATTTAAGGTTTATGCAACCCTTTTGTGGTGAAAAAGAAGAAGGGTTAAAAAGGAAAATGTGGTGATGGGGCCACTATGGCTTGTTTAAAAGCGTGGAGGGAGTGATTTATTTTATTTATTGTTTGCATGTATAAATAAATATATTTGCATTTAATATGCAAATATTTAATATGCAAATACCATCTGGTAGAATATACCAGATGGGCGGGATATAAATCAAATAAATAAATAAATACAAATAATTTTTTTAAAAACACACATCCGAATACAAAGCACCGTTGTGAGATCCGTGGTGATTTATTTGTTTATTATTCACTATTAAGTCCAGGTTTTGGGACTTAATAGCGACCTTTACAGCGAGCCCATAGAAGCCCTGGCTTCCTACTGCGAAGGAAGGACTGAGGGGGAAAAGCGGTAGGCCTCGTTGCCATGGTAACAAGGCGAGCGAGCGACTGACTCGCGGCGGCGCCGGCAAGCTTCCGCGTTCCTCCCTCTCCCCCGCGCCGCGATTGGCTGGCGGGCGTTCTGGGAGGGCGGGACCGGAAGTGCCTGGGGAAGGTTGCCATGGGTGCGGCGGTGGCGGCGGCCGGGGGTCGATGCTGGTGCGGCGGGAAGGGGCGGTGCCGGCCGGACCCGTGCGGGGTGCTGTGCCTGCTGCTCACCTACCTCAGCGTGGGCTACGCCGACTATGTCATCCTGGAGCATGTCCTGCTCCAGCCGGGCTTCCGGGGCAGGTAGGGCCCTCTGCACATGCTCAGGAGCACTGCCCCTTTGGGTAGCCGGGCAGGATGGCCGGGGGTGGAAAGCAGTCTGCACATGCTCAGGAGCACCGCTCCCCCATTGCTGGCCGGGCAGCGTGGGCAGGGGGGTTGAAAGCACTCTGCACAGGCTCAGGAGCACCGCCCCCATTGGGGGGTCGGGCAGGGGTGGTGGGGGTGGAAAGCACTCTGTACATGCTCAGGAGCACCACCACCCATTGGGTAGCCAGGCAGGATGGGTGGGGTGGAAAGCACTCTGCACATGCTCAGGAGCACCGCACCCATTGGGTGGTCGGGCAGGGTGGTCGGGGGTGGAAAGCACTCTGCACATGCTCAGGAGCCCCGCTCCCCCATTGGGTAGCCAGGCAGGATGGGTGGGGGTGGAAAGCACTCTGCACATGCTCAGGAGCACCGCCCCCCATTGGGTGTGCCCGGCAGGGTGGATTTTTTGCCGCTGAGGGGTTGGGGAGTGGAAAGCACTCTGCACACGCTTAGGAGCTCTGCACTCTAGCTTGCCAGGGGGGTGTCTGGTTTCTGTGGGAAGGAATGCTTCCCGTGGAGGAAAAGAGGCTTTGCACATGCGCAGAGGCACTGGGCCATTGGAAGGTGGTGCGGGCCTGGGGGTGCATCTTGGAAGCCAGGTTTCCTCCAAGAGGGAAGGCCGTCTGCACATGTTCAGGGGCCTTTTGCCCTGGGTTGCAAGCATGGATGGGTGTTGTTCTTTTCGCAGTTCCTTGTTTTTCCAAATTACGTCTCCAAAACACCTTCCAAAACGGTGCCCCTGAGCATCTGCAGAGTGTCCTGTCTGGGGATTTTCAGAGGTCTGTATCCAGGAAATGAATTCTTGCTGAATAGCTCAGTGGTTTAGGGATGGGAGTTCGAATCCCCTCCACAGGGCCTCCTTGACAGGGGCTGAACTGGATGCTCTCTGGGGTCCCCTCTAGCTCTGCCATTCTAAGGTTATTCAATTAGGATTATTTTCCCGGGAAAGGAACGGGGCTGCGGTAATTGGCTTAATTTAGGCTGCAGTCATAAATGCACTGGGGAATAAAAACCAATAAACATGATGGGATATGTTTGCAAGTAAACTTGTCTGACGATGTGAGTGACTTTTTCTTCTCATGCACTAGAATGAAAAACCGCAACATTTCTCTTCTTTGTCTAAAAGGAAGTGAAATATCTTTTGGCACTTGAGATGTGGGAGGACAATTTTTGGAGAAATTGCATAAATGATACAAATGGGGCGCAGTAGGGGGTAGCTGCTGCTTTGAGGGTACAGAATGTTCAAAATCAGAAGCACTGGATAGGTTGTTTCAGTCTTGTGGACCAATCAGCCAGTCTTCTTCAGCTTGCTGTCGTTCCGCACCTACTTCTTGTCTTCCGCTGATGCCCAAGGCAAAGAACTTTGCAGGGGCTGGCAGCCTTTGAGCAAGCTGTCATAACACGTCAAGGCAATCTGCTCTGTGAGAGAGAGAAAGAATAAATTTGTGAATATTCTCTACATCTAGTGACTGGTGCCCATGAGGTAGGCTTTGAACGTCCTGTTCCTTGGACAGCTTGTTCTTTGATTTCTCGCTGCTGCGTTTTCAAAGTGTGAAGCCTTGAAACCAGAATAGAAAAATGTCCGACTACCTCACACCAGAAGGGCAGGTTAAGTCATTCTCCTATACAGTATGTAAATGTGAATTCCTATCATCATAAAATGAATACCCCTCCCTTTCTTTCCACAAAGCAACCCAAGGCTTGGCTATATTGGCCATTTGATCCCTGCCGGGCTGTCAGAAGGTGCCGCTTGCAACCGGATCCTCAGAGGTTTCAGGCGATTGTGATGACAGTAGAGATAGAATGGACCTCTCCGATTTCACTGACTTTGCCTCTTTGAAGTGTTAAGTTGCTGATGATCTCACTGCTTCCTTTTGTCGCAGCCTCTGGTGCCCGTTCCATGCGGTAGCGTTCAACTTCATCGTGGTGATGCTTCTGGCCTGTCATATGCGAGCCGTCTTTGCTGACCCAGGTAAACTTTCTCTGTTTCTTGCTTGAGACCCTCAACGCCGTGCCTTTATGCCTTCCAGGGATAAAAAGGCCACTGTGTGGGCCTTCTTTTCCTCTTTCTAAATGTCTTACCTTCGCTGTTCCAGTCCAATACCCTTCCCACCAACTCAACCTTACAGCTGTTAAGTGGGATACAGTATAAGTGCCATTTGTAGCTTTTGTGCCTTGCTTTGCAGCTGTAAAGAGTCACAGGCAGTTGGTGGTGTTAGAGTACAGTGGTGCCCCGCTAGATGCTTACTCCAGATACAGTACAACAACAACAAACAAAAACCTTTATTGGCATTACCGATTTTTCACTTTACCACAATCAAAACAGCTGATCGTCGGGTTTCAAAATGGCCGCCCACTGTGTTTCCTCGCTTTGCAGGCACCGGAAAATGGCCGCCCTATGGAGGATCTTCGCTTTACGATGAAGTATTTCGCCCATTGGAACGCATTGAGCGGTTTTCAGTGCATTTCCATGATCAAAACAGCTGATCGTCAGGTTTCAAAATGGCTGCCCGCTGTGTTTCGTTGCTTTGCAGGCACCGGAAAATGGCCGCCCTATTTAGGATCTTCGCTTTATGATGAGATATTTCGCCCATTGGAACGCATTGAGCGGTTTTCAATGCATTTCGATGGTTTTTTTACTTTTGCTTGACGACGATTTCCTTCTACAGCGCTTTTGCTGGAACGGATTGTCGTCATCGTCAAGCGGGGCACCACTGTATTAGAGTCGGACTTCGGAGATCCAGGTTCCGGTCTCCACAGAGCTGTGAAACTGTCAGAGTGGCCTTCCTTCCGTCCCTCTCTTTTCTGCCTATCTTACCTTGCAAGGTTGTTCTGATGATACAGAGTGGAGACGCGGAGCCAGGGCACTGCCTTGAGCCCATGCAGGAAAGGCAGGACATGAATGGAGCAAATACATTTAAAAAAAAATAATAATCTAGAGTGCTTTGAAATTTAATAAAAACAAGGCAGTTCCTTGCGCTCAGGTTTCCAGTCTAAATGGGCACACGGCGTAAAAAGAAAGAGAGGCCCACAGGGCAAAGGAGAACAAGAAAAACAATCTCTGGATGTGATGATGTTTCTGAGCTGGGTAGAGCGGTGGCTGGAGGGCAGCTCAGGCGAAGGAGAAGAAAGCTGCTGTTTGCTGCTATAGAAGATGAAACCTTCGTATTCAGAGACAGGGTTTGTTGCCGTATGAGGGGTGGAGTAGCTGCATTGTGCAGAGGGTTGGTCTAGATGGCCTCTCCAGGTCCTTCCAACTCTCTGGCTCCGTTCCGCCCATGTAGAGACAAGGGTCCGAGTAAACAAAGCACCGCTGAACACAGTACTCGTAGTTTCGAACATCTATTGCGGAGTTGCATTGAGTGTTTTCAAAGCACTTCGACATCCCTGCGAGGTAGGCCACACACGGACAGCCTTGAGGCTCACGGGACTGATTTGGGAATCAGGGGCAATTACCATCCTCTCTGGAACCAAATTGCAGTCTACAAAGACACAGTCACCTGTCCTCTGCCGTCCCCAACATGATTGTCTCCTTATGAGAGCCTGAGGTGGGAAATGGCCTTGCCAGAGGTGGGCACCATGTAGCCCTCCAGATGTCGGATTGCAACTCCCATCAGCCCCAGCCAAGGGGGAGGTACGCTGAGAGCCTAGTTATGTCTGGAAGGCTGTACTCTGACCGCACCTGCCTTCGGCAAATCCCTTCATTGAGTTAGCTTGTGGAGGGATGCCGAGAGCCACAGCCTAGTTAGTATGTCTGGAAGGCTGTACTCTGCCCACGCCTGCCTTTGGCAAATCCCTTCATTGAGTTAGCTTGTGGCCTAAGCAGGATTCGAACTGGGGTTTTCCAACCCCAATGGCTCGGTCCCTTATCCCCCACGCTAGCGGTGATGTTAGTGGCGACGGGCAGGAAGGGGGCCTTCCATTCTTGTGCTGCGGATCGATCTTCCACAGACATCTGGTACGCCGGCGGGAAAAGATCAAACCCTAAACCAGGTGCACCCTGTGTGGTCAGAAAAAGCTTTTTAAAATTTCTTTAAAACTGTTCCTTCCTCTGCGCCACCCTTTGGCCATGTCAGTCCCATCCCCCCCCCAAAAAAAACACCAAAGTTAAGGATCCCGCTCCCCTTGCACGCAGGAAGATCCTGGGTGCAATATTTTCTCCCAATGAAAAGGCAGGTTTCAGGCTCCTGTCTTGATGATAAATGAGGAGATTCCCCTGTGTCGGCTGGTTTGGAGAAATCCTGGCCCCGATCCTCGTTCCCTCTAAAGGTACCGAGGCCTGTCCTGTTCGTTGATGAGTAAGGCTTGCTCCTTTTGCAGCTGCTTCTCAGCACATGGAGGCAGAGCAGCTGCCGGAAGCTGAGCTGCCTCGCTCATCTGTTTCTTTTTCCAGTAGCTGCTCGCTGGGGCTCCAGCTGCAGGACATCACCTTGGCCTTCTCAGAGGTATCATCTTACCCTGGAAAGGGGCTCCGGAGCCTGTGGATCCTCAGCCGTGTTTGTCTCCGGCGCAAGGGAGGCCGTCCATCATCTTTGCCAGTGGCATCTGGGAGCGAAGCCGACAGGGGTCGACTTTATTTAAACGGACTGGCCTGCTTTGTTTGCATGGCTTCGTTCTCTCTGCTCCCCTCTGGACGCACAACCCGACCATGGCGCGCATGTTTGCTGCGTCACACCGGAGAGGGAACATCTCTGTTGACTCATGGGCCTGCATCATTGTTAGAAGTTCATTCTGTTCCTGTTCTTTAGGTTTTGTTTAGTTGATGCTATGCTTTGAAAAGGGGGCGAGGAGAAGCGCCTCTTGGTCCTCCTTGGCCTCCAAGCTGCAGTTGAATTTTTTTTCCTGACATGTTTGCTTTAAGAAGGAAAAAAAAAAGGCACTTTCTGAGCCAGAGCAGATAGCTGGCCAGCGCTGCATTCCAGCAAGAAAACTTGAGAACAGGACAGCCTCCATGAAATAGAGGAATGCTATTCCCCTGCTGTTTATCGCAGGCAGTCTGATATTGAGAGGCATACTGCTCCTGCCTCTGGAGGTTCCTTTCCAGGCAAGGAAAAGGAAATGCTAGGAATGAAGAAAGAGCTGAGAACCCATATCCACCCTTCACCTCATATATTTATATTATTAATGAAGAAGCACAAAGAGACATTATCTGGAAAGCAAAGATCATCTTTCTTTCTTGCTCTTTTAATTACGGAAGGAAGAATTCAGCCAAATTTGAAATGAGACGGGAAATGTTCTCTCTGAAGAGTAGAAGGTGGTGCCAAACCTAGGCAGGGCCTCTATGGGGAGCTTATTTAGGGCAAGGCTGGAAAGTTGATTGCCATCCCGGTCAGACCCTCCAGCTTCCAGCAGCTCCCATCAACATAGTGAGGATGCATTGTCGTTTGAACCCGGCAGGATCCGGACCCTTACGAGGTCCTCACCCTCAATTTGAGCCCGGTTCGAAAGGAAACACGACAACCACAGAAAAATAACCCAAACACACCGGGTCTCCAGGGGTGGTGTCTCTAAGACATCGGCCTTTAAGAATGGTGGGCCAGGTTGTCGTTCTGGAACACAAATCTCGGAAATAATCTGGGTTGCTCGGGGAAGAAGGGCAGCTGAATTGTGCCAGGGTGGCTTTGTAAAATCTCGTGATGTGGAGGGCGAGGGCCTCTGGGAGTGGGGTCGAAAAGCAAAGGATCCACCAGAGTCCAGTGCAGCTGAGCAGTACCTGGCTTAAAAGAGATGGATGGGCTTAGCTTCTGCCTCCCGCTTTTTTTTTTCCAGGCATGGTCCCGCTCCCAGACACAGCCCTCGACTTCTCTGACCTGCGAAGTAACAACAGCAGCAGCAACAACAACACATCACACAAGAGCAGCCGGGTAAGTCTCCTTATCGAGACAACCCCACAATAAAGTGAATCCGTACCATAATTCTGGGGTTTTGCTTGTGAACTGAATTGTCTCTGGCCCCTCCGTTTCTTCTTTCCTTTGCACCCGCCCCTCCTCCAATCCGCCCTTGGCCACCCAGAATAACGAAGACTGGACGGTTTGCAACCGCTGCGAGACCTACCGGCCGCCCCGGGCGCACCACTGCCAGGTTTGCCACCGCTGCGTCCGCCGCATGGACCACCACTGTCCTTGGTGAGGAGCTGGCACTTTTAAGTCACAGAACGGGCAGAGGTTGGCATTGAGCTGGGGGAGAAGGGTGGTTTATTCTGTGCGGATCCTCCTTTCCCTTCAGTGAGCTCAAGGCGAGGTACACCGCACGCCGTCTCCCCACGTTGGTCTCACAACACCCTTGCGAGGTAGGACAGACTGAGAAAAAGAGGGCGGCTGACCTGGAGTGGAGCAAGGACAGCTCGCCAAGGACGGCCGCAAAGCTAAGCCTCAGTCCGCGCTCTAAACCGTATAGTCTGTGTCCTGTGTTTTGCATGGGCTAATTTAAAGAGTCCTCTTAGGGGGGAGAAAGCTGGCTGGATAGCTCAGTGGTTTGGGCATCTGACTGCGGAGACAGAGGTTGGGAGTCCGATTCCCCCCACTGGGCCTTTCTGTGTGTGGAGTCAACCTAAGTGGCCTTGGGCGAGCTGCACAGTCCCAGGGCACCCCAGGAGAAAAGAACGGTCAACCATCTCTTGAGTCTTCTCTGCCTGGGAAAACTCTGAAAAGGGTGGCCGTAAATCAAAATTGACTTGACAGCAGGGAGAACAAGCCTCCCAACTCATTTCGTAAAACAAAACACCTCATTAGACACAATTGCTCCTCGCTCCTTTCAGAGGCTTTCAGAAAACAGCTGGTTTTAGTGTTGTGGGGGCTTTGTGGCGCTTTTTAACCCACTCGCAATTCTCTGTCGGCAGGATCAACAACTGTGTCGGGGAACTCAACCAGAAGTACTTCATCCAGTTTCTCTTTTACACGGGTATGAGAACTTCCGAGACTATGCCTCAAGGGGAGTAGACCGGGGTAGGGGTGGGAAGCGACGACGTTGGGGGCAAAGCAGTTGAGGATATGAGTGGGGCCCCCTTGCTTTGTGGCCGTCTCCCTTTGCGGCTTTGTCGGCTGTGAGGTCACCCTCCCACTTAGAAAAAGAAGAAGAAGCTTGGATCGTTAGTTGAGCCCTCTGCTTCCCCTCTTGAAGAATGCTGTGGGTTCTGCAGGCCTGCGTAGTCCTGTGTTTCCCGGCCCGCGGAGCAGCTTAGAAGATCTTTTGAAAATCGATCTGGCACAGCTTACGAGATGTTGGATCTGTTCTCTGAAACGAGAGCAACACTACAGCCTTTGGCCACAGGAGGCTGCTGTTGCCTTAAGCCTACAGCGTTGTGTCTCATGCACACCGTCACTTCTTGAGCCGCCCTTGGCTTCTCACTGATTCCTTTGAGTCCCTCCGAGAGCCGGGAGTCTCCGTTCTCACCCTGGGCTCAGGACCTTTTCCGGGCTGGAAGCTTCCATCTCTTCCTCACCGTGCTTCATCTTCACGCCGTGTTCTCCACCTCCTCTTAGAGTCCCAAGCGAGAACCTCTGAACCTAAAAAGCCGAACAGATCATCCCAAGGCTTCGTACTTCCCTGGAGGCGCTGCCTTGGAAAGTGGGAACGCGACCAACCACCAACTGCCCACCTCGGTCTGTCCCTTCCTTTCCAGAACCTAGTTTGGGAGCGGGTGGGAGGTAGCCTTGGGACATCCCAGTAGATCTCCGGGTTGTTTGAGGTCGTTGGACACACGTGTCCGAGTCCCGATGGTTTTACCATCGCAAAATGTTTCCCTCCTCCTCCTCCCGCCTCCGGCTTGAATTAGGAGCGGACCTCCGGGCAGAAGGAGTGGGAGCGCAGCTCGACTCCAAAACCGGAAGCGAACGCAGGCACGCATCGGAAGATGCGAACGGGGTGCCCTCTTCCTTGATTCTCGTTGGAGTTCCTCGGCTTTCGCTGGCCGTTCTTGAGGTCCCAGTGGAAAACACAAATCATAGATCCAAGTGCGAAGGCCGCCCACTCCTGACCCAGAAAAAAAGAGAGATCCGTTTCTCTCTCTCTTCCCCTCTCAAGGCTTAACCTCTCTAGAACGGTATTGGAAAAAGCCCTCGTTCCTCATTAAGACGTATCCTCTAGCCTCACCACCCTATCCAAGTGGTCTCAAGGACCGCGTCTCCCTCGATGAGCCTCCTCGAGTGCTAAGATCCTCAGGGGAGGCCTTGCCTTGCTCTCCAAAACCTTCTCGGATGCCCTTGGTAGGGGGCACGTGAGAGGAGGGCCTTCTCGGTGGCTGCTCTCAGACTCTGGAACTCCCTCCCACTGGAAACCAGGCTGGCCTACCTTGGCTCTTGTTCCACAAGCAGGCCAAGACCTTTATCTCTAGGCAAGCTTTCCCTGAGAGATATTTTTTAAATAGAAGGTTGTGCCTTAATGCTTTGACTGTGTTGTTGTTGTTGTTTGGTATTGCTTCCCCCCTCACACCTTTTCATAGAACAGTGTTTGCTTGATCCCCTTTAGTATTTGCATATTTACTGTTTAGCTTTAAATATTGTCATTTCGTGATGTAAGCCGCCTTGAGTCCTTTTTCAGGAGGAAGGCAGGGGGAAATATTTTTAAGTAGTAGTAGTACCGTGTTTCCCTGAAAAATGATGTAAACCGCCTTGAGTCCTTTTTAAGGAGAAAGGCAGGGGGAAATATTTTTAATAATAATAATAGTAGTAGTAGTAGTAGTAGTAGTACCGTGTTTCCCTGAAAATAAGACAGGGTCTTATATTATTTTTTGCTCCAAAAAAAAAACACATTAGGGCTTATTTTCAGGGGATGTTTTATTTTCTTCATGTACAACCATCTGCATTTATTCAAACACAGTCCTGTCCTCTTCTTCTGGCTGCTGCACAAGGGTGGAGGGCGGGGGTTTCACTTCACGGGGGCTTATTTTGGGGGGTTAGGGCTTATATGACAAGCACCCTGAAAAATCATAGTGGGGCTTACTTTCACATTAGGTCTTATTTTCAGGGAGACAGGGTAAAATATTCTAAAAGATAGGTGGCTAGGTTGATAGATTTCCTCCCCTCCCTTTTTCCTTTGCTATCCTCCCCAGTTTCCTGGCCTTCACTGACCTTCTTCTCTCTCCCCCTCCCTCTCCCCAGGCTTGGCTAGCCTTTACGCCATGGGGCTGGTCTTGGCGACCTGGCTGTGGCCAGCAGACAAGAGCTCAACAGGGAAAGCCGAAGGGGCCGAGGGAGCCGCATCCGCCAACCGGGTCCACATGTGAGTGTTCACTTTCCTCCTTCCGCCCACCCAGCGGTGAGTTCCTCGACTCGTCCTCTGCAGGGTTAAAAAAAAAATTAAAAAGGAACACGGAGCGAAATTGCCATGTTGCGCCGTGCCTGCCAAGAACAACTGGAGCGCAGAACGTTGGCTGCGCGCCGAGCGAGTGCGGTCCAAGTTGGCCTTCCGAAAAGGCTCTCTGAAACCTGCCAAAGCGTAGAGATTTGTTCCTTCCTCCGCCCCACGCGCTCCATGCCTTTCCCTCCTTCTCTCCTCCCCAGTTTGGACTGGGCTGCATCTTCAAATTCCCTGCAGTGCCGGCCCTGCTTTTAGGTAGAACGAGGCTGATGGTGGGGAGATGATGGGCATCAGCCGTAGGAGCTGCCTGTGGTGTGAGGAAGGGCGGAGAAAGAATCTTCTTTTTTTTCCCTCCGTGTCCAAGGAAATTCAGAGAGATGCTGGGTTTCGTTTGGGAGTGAGAGATTTCGGGCCCTGTCTCTTTAACGCGGGCCACGCTTCGCCCCGTTTCTCCGGAAAATATTTCTTCGAGCTTATGTCATCCTTTCCAATGTATAAAAAGGGCACCTAAAACCTTTATTAGAAGGCACTTTTCTGCTCAAGGATCAGAATGAGTGGAAGTTGGCAGACTCCCTTGCCTACCTATTAGCCGAGAGCAAATCCGTTGGACTACGGTGGAACTTCTGGGCTTTCAGCCTTCTTGTTGGGGTTTATGACACTGATAAAGCTTTTTCGTTTTGATTGGCAGCGCCCGAGAGCCACCCTCTCGCTTTCAGGCCTTGGTGCCTGAACGAGAAATGATCATGCCCGGGGCCGTGACTTCGGGTCGTCTGCGCTGGGCGAGGCTGTGACTTGTTGAGTCGCTCGTCGCCCTGGGGAGCCTCCCCCAGCTGAGTGCCCCATAGATGACTTGAACTACATTTCCCATAATCCCACAGGCAGTCGACCGTGGCCCCTCCATGTGGTTCTACTTCAAGGCCAATCCTTGCCAAGAGTTGGTCGTGCTAGCCTGTGATCTCCCCTGGGGACCAGAGAGGCCCGTTGGGTTGACCACGCTGGCTTTTCATGGCTCCTGCATGGACGCTGTTCGTGTGTGTGTGTGCGCACGCGCTATCTGTGATGCGCCCCAGACATGTTCTGCCCCTGTCTTTCCCAAAATATAAAGTAGATTGGGCATGTTTCTCTGCAAGAAACTGACCGCGCTTCCACTTTCTCTCATTCCAGCGCTCACCGCATCATCTTACTGGTGGAATCTATTGTCTTCGGGCTGTTTGTCACCGTCATATTTTACGACCAGGTCAGTTTGGGGGAAACGGGTTTGGGAATCAAGAAGAACCCGTGGCTTTCCCTGTTGATCCTGCTCCCTTTTAACTCAGTGAGGCTAGACACTGGCTAGATCTCCAATAGCTAAAGGTTAGGGTCAGGTCCTGTCTCTCTTACCTCCCACCCCCACCCCCAAATTTCAGAATGGCTTTCTGTGGCTTGTGTCTCCCAGCTGGTCTCCATCATCACAGACAAGACACCCATTGAGCAGCTGCGCCATCGGCTCCTGAAGGAAGCGCGCCAGGAAGTGTCTCACACGCGGAAGCCCAAGATTGCCCTTTTGCGGGAGGTGTTTGGCCGAGGTACCTCACCAGGGTGGTGGTGGTGGTGGTGGAGGGCTAAAGGCTGGAGGGATATTTTCCCCCACCCATGATGGGACACAATGATCAACTCTCTCCTCCACTCTGATTCCCACTCCCCGCCCCCCGCATTTCTTTCCAGGTTTCGTGATCTGCTGGTTTTTCCCATGTAATTGCAGCTCCCCGTCGCCCGGCGGACCTTCCTACAGCTACTTGCCCAACTATGATGTGTGACTGGCAGGGGGTCGAGCCCTTCCTCCCCGGAAGGTTTTGCTCCGCTCGTGTGCATGGCGCTCTCTTTTCTCTCTTTTCTCATGGTGGGAGCGAAGGTTTCGTTCTGTTCCGTTTGCTGCGGTCGGCCGAGGCGGCAGCGCCTGTGAATCGCAACGCTTCCATCAAATCCTGGAGGGGCGTCAACGTCTTCCCCCCCCAAAAAAAATATTCCCCCCCTCCGGACCCTGTGGTTGTCAACGTCTTCCCCCCCAAAATATTCCCCCCCTCCGGACCCTGTGGTGCTCCAGTGGGAATCCGTGCTGTCTCACCTCTTCTCCTCCTGCAAAATGAAGGTCAGCCAGAAGCCACTTCCTCCTTCTGTGCATTTTGGAGAAGGGCTGTATTTTCACCCTCTCTGGAAACCTGCCTGAACACATAACAGGGCCTGGAGTAGGAGGAAGCCCCCGTCCTTCAGCCCCTCTCCCTGGATTTGGCCCGCCTCACCCCACAAAGGCCTTCTCTGGGTCTGGCCCAAGATCACCTGCGTCCTACCGGGGTCGGTAAAAAGAAGGCCTTCCAGGATCCCCTTCGCTGACAACTCGTGTGTCGTTGGCAGATGGCTGTGATTCTCTAGGGACCGGTGACTTCTGCCCCATGGAGCCATGTTCCACTTACCCCAAGATGTGGGAATTGGGTGGGCTGATCATCCTTCCTGGGTGGCCGCAGCACCCCGTCCTTCTGCCTCTGGTCGGCTGTGCGAGTCTTACCCGTCGGCTTGTCACCCCTCCTTGCACGGTTGGTATATGGGAAGGAGTTGTCTCAACACAGTCATGATATACAGTACGTTGTTTCAGATTTCGTTCCCCCTCCTGCTTTTGGTGGATATGTCGCTTGACAAAAGGATGGCTTGGTTTCACGTTATCTGTCTTCGGGACGGCTGCCTCCCTTAAGGCACGGATCCCAAAGCCGTCCATTAGTTTAGCCGGGGGGGTGGGCAACTCTCCCAGTTGGACTGTACCCCATTTTCCTTCTTCACCGTTGACCATGCTGCCTAGACCTGACTGGGCTCCCAGTCCAGCCCGTAATCATTGAGGAAGAGGGGGACACGTTTAGGTCATCTTCCCCTGCCTCGGGGTTTCGAAGTTTTACCTTTAAGGAACTCTTGAAAAGCACAGGAGGGAAGTCTGGTGCTCATGATATCATCCTTCCCCTCCCCCCCCATCCAGTGTTTTATGAGCAACCCTCCCTTTCCAATCCTATGCCTGGGCTTCCATGCTATTTATTTATTTAATTTATTGAGTGCAATCCAGTTCCAGTCCATTTAACACTAACATGACTCGACGGTTGAAGTGGTTCATTAGAAACTGCTCTAAAACCAAGCGCCCTTAGAAACAGGCAGGAAGGAGAATTTCTATTAATCCTGTCCCTCGGGGGCCTTGACGAACTCATCATAGGAAGGCACACCAGAAACAAGGGGCCACCACCAGAAAAAAGGTCTTAATGAAGATCATCCGGGCAGGGGCTCTGAAGACGTGAGCATGGAACCTCAAGGAACGAGCCGTCTTCTCGAGACGACTTAGAGACCTTTGTTAGGTTCCCGTGTCTTCCAGCCCCAGGGTATTTGCTGGACCCGTTAGATTTAATGGCTTTTAAAACATAATGAATGAAAAAGGCTGCCCTTGATTCATCAGTCAGGACATGTCATGTAATTTTTTATTTTATTTTTAAAAATTGGTTAAATAAGAGTTTTAAAAGGCTCTTATGAAATCCATAGAAGGCGAGCGTTATGAAAGAGCCATTTTTGCCTTTCCTCCTGACATTTGTGTAATTTTTTTTAAAAAACTTATTTTTGGCCCAGAAGGTCCCTTTGGGCCTCTGGGTGTTGTGGGGGGACCCATTATGGGATGTTCCGAGGGGCCTCCAGCATGTCTGCCCCCATCCCAAGCAAATTTTAATGTTTTTAAATATATATTTCTGGCCACTAGAGGCCGCCAATGAGCTGTTTTAGTTTTAAAAATGCATTTTTGTATTAATAATGTTTGGTTGCGAGGGCTCCTGGAAGCAGGGGTCGCCCCCCCCAAGACCCAAGGATGAGCACAGGCAGGCTGTGGGACTTTGGTTTCCCTGGACCACTGGTTCCTAGCACCCAGCGCTACAGGATTTCCATATTTTCTTTGCCTGAAGCCTCAGTTTCTTGTCTGCTGTGGATTTGTTTTCCTCTGCTTTGATTTGTGCTCGAAGAAGACTTCTCTCCCAACCTCCAGCCATCTTCCTGAAAATCCTTTTTTTTTTTTTAAGTCACTGGTTTGGCTCAAACTTGACAGATAAATTATGAACTGTGAACTTTACTGTAAAATAAACGGAGGGCGTGAGGAGACCGTATGTGGAGTTTAATTGTGATAATTTTCTGCCATTAAATAAAAAGTCTAGACATAGCCCCAGCAGCAAACCTAGCATAAGTCATATCCACCCCACTGTTCTTCTGCTGTCTTCTTAGGGTGTATTTACGCGAGATGCTTCATTTAATGGCTCAGCGCCAAGTGGTTGAGTAGAATCCTTGCTTTTACTGCTCACTTTGTGTTACTTTAAAAAAAAGCAGGAGTCTCTTTTCCCCGTTGTTGCAAAGGATAACCAATCCGCATTTTGTTTTTGATTTTAAGAATACTCAAAAGACCTCTTCCCGTGAGCCCAGCGCCCCGAAGGGCATCTTTCTTGCTTCCAGAGTTAAACGACAGCTCCCATGGGTGACCCACACATACATCCAGGCACATTTTTCCACATTTCCCCGATGTTGCGTCTCTCCCCACCAGCTCTGGATTGTCGGGTGACTCCTTCAGAAACAACAAACAAGCCGGCGATGTGGTTCTGCAAATGGGATCTAAATTGGCGGGGATAATTGTTGCCTCGTTAACTCCAGTTGCTGGTTTTGGAGGTTTACATTTGCTGGTGTGACGTTCCCGACCCTTTTCCTTGGGGCTCTTGTCGGTTGCACGGTAGGAATGGTGGTAGATGTGTACGTTCACATACATGTATATAAATCTCTGTATTGGGAATCCACAGAAAAATCTGGCTTCCTCGCCTTTAGAGGTTTGAGCGAATTTGCATATACAGTGGGACCCCCTTATCTGCTGGATCAGTAAGCGCTGATTCACTTATCCACGGTCTGAAAACATTAAAAGTATTAAAAGAAAAATCCCCAATATATATGCTTTTAACAAAGAAGTTACTAGAACTGGTTACTACAAGGAGCCAGAGACCATCCTGTATGTAGCATTCGCTATTATAATAGCATTCTCTATAAATTTCATGTTTTTCAGCATCTTGGGGGGGAGCTTGGAGCTGATTCCCCCACGGATACTGGGGTCCATCTGTATGTGCATTTTTGCAGAGCGTTTCGGCAAGTCCTAAGACAGGAGATGTTGTGGAGGGCGAGCGGAGCTGAAACATCATACGAGGCCTTCGGGGGACCTGGCCCCGAATCACCCCTAGGGACTAGAAAATTTGTTTTTGAAGGGAAAGCACGGGCATTTTAAGGAGCGTTGTCCCTTAAAATCTTTTGCTTGACTTATACGTCCGTGTTGCACATTTCCGCCCGCTCCGTTCTACTTTGAAATGACCCCTCCCGTGAACGTCATTTGCAAATACGGAATGAGCAGGTGAATCCACGGCGCCTTTCTCTCTGTCGTGGCCGCGGCCCCCAAATTAAGCTGCCAAACCAAAGAGGGGTGCTGTGGCCCAACTTGTGTAGAAGAAAGCTGTGAGCCCAGCTCTAACATGGAAATCATCATGCGCTCAGAGGCACCCTTGTCCCTCCATTATAATTGCGAACCTAACCACCCCGCGTTTTCCGTTGGCTGTGGCTGATGGACCCTGGGGTTTTAATCAAAACTAGATTTTTGCGATCCTGCCGTCTTTTTGTTCCCCCTATCCCTCGGCCCCGGTGTTTCTCCAGAAGACATCCTGGTAATCTTAGCTGTGAATGCAAGCAAACATTTTTAGATTCCTCTCTTGTCTCCCGTCGAGGTTGGTGACAGTCTTGTTTAGAGGCAAAGTGCTGGCGGGCAGGCGTGGGTGACTTGATCTCAGAATCTTTTGACTCTGTCGGCTGACTCACAGAGGTGGGTCTACTCCTGAGCTGCAGTATCTTCCACCCACAGAGCGCCGCTGGCAGGAATGTGTGTACTGCTACCCAGTTAAAAGTGGTTTGATGCCAGCTCAATGGTCGCAGCCCCATCCTGCAGAATAGTGGGGGTCTGCGGTCTGATGTTGGCGCCCCTATGAACCAGCACTCCGAAATGTCTACTCCTGCACAGCCCTGCTCAGCTCTGGCAAACTTAAGCCAGTGGCTTCCTTTAGGGCGTTGATCCATCTCCTCTTGGGTCTTCCTCTTTTCCTGCTGCCGTCCACTTTTCCCAGCATTAATCTCGCCTTCTCAGGAGGTCTCCAAAGCAGGACAGCCTCGGCGTCATCATGTTGGCTTCCAGCGACAGTTCTGGCTTGATTTGATCCAGGACCCACTGGTTCGTCTTATCCAGGGTATCTACAAAGCTCTCCTCCAGCACCACATTTCAGATTAATTAATTTTGGGTCAAGTTTTCTTTCCTGCCCAACGTTCACCTCCATCCATAGTGATCGGGAGTAGTACAAGAGCGTGGACGGTCTCGGTCTCCGGGGAGACACCCTCACACCTTGATGATCTTTTCTAATTCCTTCATCGACGAAGCCCTAGAGGTCTTCCTGCCGGTCAAAAGGAGGGCAGGAGAAGTCTAGGGATGCCCTCAAACTACAGATCCCAGGATTCTCTGAGAGGGGAGCCATGACGGTTAAAGCGCGATCAAGCCACTGTAACCATGTTGTGTGTAGATCCAATGTGCTCAAGGTATAAGCTGCTGGTCAGCAGCTCCCCACGGCCTCAAATCACGTCAGTTCGCTGACGATGAGCTGCCTGCTGGCTTACACCGCGATGATCATAACAATCGGCATCTTGGAACAGCAGAGCTGGAAGGGGGACCCGCGAGGTCATCCAGTCCAGCCCCCTGTCAAGAAGGCCCGGGGGGGGGTTCGAACTCCTAACCTCTGGCTCCACAGTCAGTGATCTAAACCACCGAGCTATCCGGCAGTCTTTAAGTGTGTACAAGGGTTGGAGGCGCTTATTTATGAAAGTTGTGTTTTGGACAGAGGAAGGGGTGCCCGTATGATGCCAGCGTTAGTTGCAGTCTTCCATAGCAAGAATAGGCGGTCAGTGTTCGTGTATGCAATCTGCATTCCTTCCTTCGAGATTTTAAAAATATATAATACTTTTCTTCGCTGAATTCTGCTTGAAGGTGTTGCTTTTGTACGTATGGCTCAGTTGCCACGTGCACGCTGTCTTCTTTTCCCACCCACGCACCCCGAATCTCTGTTTAAAAGGACAGCCAGGAAAGCCAAGGCTTCCGCCACCCATCCACCCCCTTTTTAATTCCTCCTGCCCGTGGAATGGAAACTTTAGCCTCCGTTGCGGGTTCTGGAATCCGATCTGCCCAGCTTCCACACAACTCTTGGGAGACTTGGGGAGGCTGGAGGCGAGCCCGGGAGCCTTTCGGCACCGGGATTGAGTCAGAGGGAGCGAAAGCGGATGGAGAGATGGAGGAGGAGGTGGTGGTGGCGAGAGAGTCTGGAAAGGAGATCTAAAAAGGCAGGAGGGAAAAACCGTGTGTGTGTGTTTGTGTGTGTGCCTTGGCCCTCTTCCGAAGACCGGTCCGGCCTGGAACCTCGTTTTCAAGGAGGCCGGACTCGTAAGGCGAGGAAAAACAGCTGTCGGGCGGAGCTCATGGAGGGCCAAAGAGCAAGGGGAGCGAGGTTTCTAGGAGACCCCCGAACTTTTTGAGCATCAGGCCTTCATACAGTATTCTCTGCCTTTTGCTACAGTCCTCGGTGTTTCTGGGACAGAAATAGGTTTCTTCCCCCCATCCACCCATGAGCAAGACCTTCTTGCACACAATCAAGAAGGTATTTAAGGATGGTTGGGTCTTGACTGGGAATCGGGAGCCGTTAACCTTACCAAAGACCGGCTCCTCGTTTGTTGGTAAGGACGGAGGCAGCTGCTTGCATTTATTGGACTCTTCCCCTCCTCATCCATTGTAACCCCCTTTACAGCCATCCAAACAAGCGGCTGGCCCTCAGCGTGTTTTGTAGATGCCGAACCCTCTGCTGTATTGAGGTGGCCCTCCTTTCTGCCATCTTAAAACCCGGCTCCCTTTCCTCCGGCGTGCTCGCCTTGCGAAAGCCTTCCTCTCCTCTGGACGGGACAGGGCGTTTTAGGAGCTCAGCCCTCCTTTCCCTCGGTTCCTGACCCCTTGATGGCAGAAGGAGTCCTTCCAAATCTCCCAAGACACATCTCAAAGAATTTGCTCTTTTGCTCTAGAGAAGGCAGGACGAGAATCATGCAGGAATGTACAGATGATCCTGGACTTCAGCTCCCAATAGCCCTTGCCAGCATGGCTAAATTGGGGATTATGGGAGGTGTAGTCCACCAGCTACTGAAGCCCCCCCCCCCATTAGAGTTAGGGGCTAGGACTAAGTGGAGAATCCTTGCCAGGATTCTCCCCTGAGGCCTTCTCTGGTTCTGCATGGCAGAAGCATCATCCTTCCAGGCCTTTGATGCTGCTGGCAGAGGTCCCTGGGAGGCCTTGTGGCGCAGTCGTTAAATTGCAGTACTGCAGCCCAAACTCCACTCACTCCAATCTGGGTTCAATCCGGCTTGAGGTTCACTCAGCCTTCCATCCTTCCAAGGTTGGTGAATGGAGTACCCAGCTTGTTTGCGGGGGGGGGGGGGGGG